ACGCAGTCAGCTTCACCCATTTCTGAAATGATCTTGTGTTTTTTAATTATTTCCCTCTTAAGATTCTTTAAAACCCCCACATGGTTTCCCACAGACCACCTGGTGGCCCACAAGCCATTCCCACTTTGAAGTCTTTTGGTCCAGGATTCATTTAATTATACATTAAGATGCATCCATAATATTGATGGGGTGGCCTGGCAGCCTTGGCACTACAAAGGGTCTCTTACCAGGTCCGAAAGAAACACGAGGGGTTCCACTAATAGCGGTGCATGCACTCGCTCCAGGTTCACATTTCACTGAATCGAGCCCATTCTTCTTCATTAAAGTAGCCTGCATTGTACCCCAAACACACCACATACCAGGTGAAGGGAATCATTCCAAGCTTTAACATATGAACTTTTATAGCTGTAAAGTAGATTCTGGACGTGCTTGTCAAGGTGAAGATTTGCGTTGCCATAAACACGTTGATACAGTACAAAGAGCCAGTGATCTTCCCTCCCTGCTTTGATTTTTTTTTTTTTTATAGATCCTACACCAATCTGGTCATTTTGGTCAAACATATCTGTGGAGTTAAGAGTCTGAAAACATCAAGCTCTGAGCATTTTCCAAGAGCATACTCACATACTGGGTGCACTGTGACAGAGCCCTCCTTCGGGCCTGCTCAGTGTGGCTGACGGGCATGTCTTGGTGGGTGCACTGTGGTCCCTGACACAGGCCCTCCTCGGTGTAAAAGGCCCTTGTCCTCTACATATTGAGCTTATTTTTTCACAGACAGAATAACCTACAGAATTCAAACTATGCCATCAGACTTTAATACCCACTCTTTGCTATTGTTCCTCTGGGACTTGGCTGCCTTAACGATAGACTGTGCAAATTGAGAGGGAGCGAGAGAGGGTGGACAGGAATAAGAGGGGTTTTAAATTGCTTTGAAATGGCCATTGTTCTTAAAAGTAAGGCCCTTTATGATTGACTGAGTCACTGTAGTGGAGCTGGCATCTGTTTTGGGTTTGACTTGCATCTTGTTGGGGGAAGGTAAACCCCTTCACCTCCAAACTCTTCATGTTCACTTTCACATAGTACATGGACAGAGAAGAGGACAAATATGCTGCTTTAAGGTAATCAAGGATTCATAGTTATCATTCAGTATGCTAGTGACTAAAGAATTAATGTATCTTCCCAGTGCATCTCCTGTTTTTAAGTGACTAGTGATAAATGCATTGACTGCCAATGCTGACTGAACAGAATCCAAGCCATATGTACGCTGTTCGTCTGATGAAATGAATACACCTGCCAATCACAAGCAGGCGTTTACTAGACTTTTTTTTTTTTTTACTTTCATTCCTCTGTACTGAACCCCCTGCAGTTCATATTTTCTCTTCCCTCAGAATTTTCTCTCTTAACCCTTGTGTGTAGGTAGCCTCAGGTTGCTGAGGTTTGGTGAAACAAGCTACCATCAAAGTCATATTACCACTAGGGTCAGAGGAGGGTCAGGGTGCAGCAGGGTGTGTGGTTTGAGGCCCTAACTGGAGGGCACAACTGCCAACCAGCCATATAGTACTGCCCTGGATGGTTACACAGGCAACAACTCTATTATGTCCAGCTTTACTCAGTGCACAAAGAACAGCTGTCTGTGCAGCCATACCAATCACTGAGCAATGCTGCATGTGCCAAAGGAGGGTAAGTGAAATAGTTTTTCTCTTCAAGTAAAGGAGGAAAAAACGTTCCTATCATGAAAGATTATTAGGGTGTTGAGGTGTGCTAAACATCCCTAGTGTTGATGGCTATTAATCTGAAAATTACACATCTTGTGTATCTGGCAGCTGTGTGTCTGAACTCCATAGTGGTCTTTTTGTTCCAGTCCTTTGAACCCCTGGGCCATTTAACGTTCCTCACATCCCTCCCCATTTATTCCTCCCACATCTTACCCATGATGAGTACAGTAAAGGCTCATTTAAGGGTCATTAGTGCTAATCCTGTAAAACAATGAGGAAGGAGAAACAATGTGCTCCCTAGTCCCTGACTATGTCCAAGAATAAAGATCTCTTGTCTGATCCACAGATGTATTGAAGAAGCCTGTTCTACTTATAGCACACTAGATTGTATAGATAAAAAAACTCATTCACAATGAAAGGGTTTATGAAAATGACTTGAAACTTTTTTTTTTGTAAGCAAGTTAGGAGGAGAGGTGACCTGAAGGTTTGGCAAAGCTTTCTAATTTATACTGCGTTACTTAGACCATATTCCACTGGCGATTGTGTGTGGCAACTCAAATTATCCTCGCCATTGTAGTCCGTAAAGACAGTGTAGTTATTGATACCACTATAACTAACAACATTAGCACCACAAGGTTTGTGTCAGTTTTCACAATGAAACTTCTTGTGTGTTTTCTCATTTCTCTCAGTCTCATGGAGAGGCTATTGCTGGGAACGATTGCCATGCGTAATTGAATTTTTGCTGGGTGCTAACATTACAATAGTTGGCTGACTAGCTTAAAATTGATTTCAAGTTTCCCAATGCTCGACAGAAATAGAATTTTGACTTTTGTCCAGATCTGGGTTGCATCTATTGTTCCCGGGAAGCGTTCCCATTTTTGTAGGAGGACTTGGACCCTCACAGTAGGAGAATATGTTTTTTGTGGGAGAAAGCCTTTGTGTGTGAACGTCTGATGAGTTTCTGTGTGTCACCATATGTTTGTACTGTAGTTTGTGTTGTGTGCGTAATTCACTGTGAGGTTTTGTGCACTCTGCCAGCCTGCGCTGGAGGGGTGTTTGTCCAAACGGCGCCAATGTTTGCACAGGGCTGTCACGATGACTGGGTTGGCCGGCCCAGACACTGCTCATCTGAAACGCAGGATGGACCAAAGTCCTCTTAAATCTTTGCCTGAAGCTCCATTGGAGACAACTTCTAACTCGAGGAACTCCAGATAAACAATTCAGCACAGAGAAAAGAACATCACTCACCTTTTTAGCCATTTCAATGTTGCTGTGAGAGGGAGTTGTTGTGGTTGTATCTTTATGTGCAGTCAAATGTTTAGCACATCAATCAGAGCAAGTGATTACAGACATGAACTTGTGCACTTTCATATTACAGTCAAATATATAGAATAAAAATAATTGTCATATATTATGTAAGGTCAGATATGAGGCAATTATATAATATGTTAAGCTTGGCTTTTCATCATGCAACCCTTTCATCATCCTTTTCAATCAGCTCTCCTCATAAATTCACACTATCTGTAAAAAGACTTTAGTCTTAAATAAACATAGTTTTAAGTTATACAAATTAAAAAAACATTTATATCTTAAAGTCTTGGCCTTGCACAGAGCATTAAAGCTGAGCAGTGGTCTGCACTAGAGTACCTGAGTACCTTTGCAAAGATCTAATGGCGCACAATCAGTTTACAATCTGCAAAGAGAAAACCTATTTTTTTATTTCAAGCGTAATAATTTACAGTATCAGCCTCCATATCAGTTATTAGTGACTAAGTTTATAATCATTATCAATCTTAAAATTCCCATATCTGTTGGAATCCAATTCAAAGTGCCTTCCGTTATGAGTCGGACGTAATAAATGATGACTTATTTTAGGTGTCAGCTCATACCCCTTTCCAACCGGCGTGGAAATGAGTGGAGGGTGGAGCTTCACAGTAGGGTTTGTCAGGCTCAGGTGTTATAGACCTGCCATTTGTTTTCAGGCCATTAACTCACAATAGCGAGCAGTAAGGTTCCACTCAGCAGGACGACTGCTGTCCATAAGGCCCTTTTTCACAGGCCATGATGGAGTACTCTTTGTCCAACGTCATAGTTCATCTCACAGCCACAAGCCATTATGTTACAGGCTATTGTTATGCTATTGAAACGGTAGATGAATACAGTGGATTTATGGATTAATGTTTGGAATATATTGAATTAAAGTGGTATTTCTTTTTTTACATTATAATAATCAACATAGTATTTATCTTCTAATTTTGGAGCACTTAGGCTAAGCACTAGTATAGATTAAACACCAGTCCCTGGTATAAAGGAAAAAAAGGATTTGCAGGATTTGCAGACTCCTTTGACCAACCATGACTTTGTAAGTGAGCAAGAGGCTGCAAAGTGCTATAATGACTCAGTGGTTCTCTGTGATTGGCGACAGTGGCACTGGGGTTAATGTAGCGGAACCCTCTCTCCACCTCCTGTGCCCCCTAACCCCTTCCCCCCCTAGTGTGGTCCCATCCTCCCCACTGGCCCTCTGTCACGCTTGACTCAACAGGGGTGACTTTTGAGTGACAGGTGGAAGGTGTGCCACGATTGGCTGAAACACGAGAGTGGCTGTGGGTTTTGAGTGCAGGCAGCCAATGGCACAGTCTTGGCACAGCTAGCTGAACAACAGCTCTCCAGTAATGTTAGAGAGTTTCCGAGTGTGAGTGTGTGTTATCGGATACAGAGGGAGAGAGTGAAAAAACACAAGAAAAAGTACTGGGATAATATGAGAAAAGGCCAGACAAAATGAGACTGGAGGGATCCTCTGAGGTAAGAGCAGTATTTCTAGATCCTGTCTGCTGTTTTGTAGTCTTGATGTTTTTTATGGGTTGCTGTGATTCTTGTTTTAATTGTGGGTCAGAAGAAATGATGTTGAGGGATTTTGTTTTCAGTGGAGAATATTTATGAGGTTTCAGCCAGGATGCAACATACGTTTGAACTGTTGGGCAAGTTTTTTTGTGGTGGACCATCAAGGGCTTAAGTGTGGAAGGAACTTTTTTTGGCTCCTCTGTTAATGTATTAACTGTTGTTTGAGTGTGATTTGTGACAAGATGCAGAAAGTGTTTCTGAAGTGAATAGGCTTAGATTTTTCTGGAGGGAATATTAGCTTTCACTGACTATCTTTCTGAGAACGTAATGCAGTCTTTCTACTATTCCACTGTAAAAAAAAATGTCTTTCTATGTTACCCCATGTTCCTTTATTTAAAATCTTATTTAAATTTAAAAATGTTTTTTCTCTTTTTGTTTCCTTCACAGCCAACCACAGCTGCGAGAGCTGCACGGGTGTGAGTAAGTGGCCTGGCCGGACCTCTTCTCCTGACTGTCCCCATCCTCCCACCTACCCAGCTTGTCTCTTGTCGTCTCAAGCACCATGCTGGTCCGTTGGCTGGCTTGGATGGCCCTGTTGTGTCTGGACTGGGCCCCAGGCAGCTGGGCCTTCATCACCACCAGGGCCCAGGGACTGAGGGGTCGCATCCAGAGGGACCGCAGAAACATCCGGCCAAACATTATCCTCATCATGACAGATGACCAGGATGTGGAGTTGGGTAAGGCTGGCACACTCTCTTGTCCTCTGTGAATGTCTGGGACCCTTTTTCAAAGCCCGTTTTTGTAATAAAAAAACAACAACGTTTCACAATGTGTATTTCTTTAATTTTTGTGAATCTCTCTTGAGTTAATGCTGTTTAATCAATTGCTTTGTCTTTGAGGGCATTGCAACAAGACTTGCGTGGCTTTTCTCTACACATTAAATATTAAATTCAAGCCATTAGCCAGAGCCGGATGGCCATCTGGCCTATTAACTGCTGCATTATAATTAATTGCCACTCAGAGAGAATTTAGTCAGAAAAGGTCTGGTTATGTAAATAAACAAACTGTGTTTATTCACATGGAAATCAATGAATACTTTGTCCGCAGGAAAAGACTTGTTTAAAAAATGTTCATACTGTTGAGAATGCATGAAAACAAATAAATACTGACCTCTGTGACTGGTTTCTCAGGTTCTTTACAGGTAATGAATAAAACTCGTAAGATCATGGAAGATGGAGGCACAAGTTTTACCAACGCCTTTGTCAGCACTCCGATGTGCTGCCCGTCTCGTTCCTCCATGTTGACGGGAAAGTATGTCCACAACCACAACACTTACACCAACAATGAGAACTGCTCGTCCCCTTCCTGGCAAGCTCAGCACGAGCCTCGCTCATTCGCTGTCTATCTCAACAACACTGGCTACAGGACAGGTTAGTGAACAAAGATATGCACTCAAGTTTTTGGAGCACTTCCCTATGCAGGATATTCAGAGTAAGGGTTTGCTTTTAGTCCACTAAGACCTCTAATGCATTGCTGGTAAAGCTTTTTCCCGTTATTTAATAAGAAAGTTTAAAGTTTAAGTGGTACGAAGTAACTTTTTCTCTAAGATACTGTCAATCGCCAAAAGTTCAAATGTGCTTTTGGACCCTCTATATTAGATCAGTGCAAATTTATACAGTTAGCCAGACTCTGCACCATCCTGCCTGGCTGTCTGCTGTGAGAAATGCAAACACAGTGATCTTGCCAGGTTGCTGTCATGTTCCCTCAGACAGTGTCTGTGAGAGTGATGGGCAGGCGTTGGAAAGGGCAGCTCAGTGGGGTCCTGTGGGCTGCAGCGTGGCCTGCGGTTTTCGAGCTGATGCGTTAGCCTGCAATTAGCCTTCCCTGGGACAGCCTGGCTCCCTGCCCAGCCTATCCCAGAATTCTCTGCAGTGAAGCCAGGGAGAAAGTAACAAGCAAGAAAGTTATGCGTCACACAGAGAAAGAGTCACAGATGGACAGAATAGAGTGTTCTACAGGTACAGGTTTTATATGAACAAATGAAAGATGCTGAAAATACTTTTTCTTTTCTTCTCTTCTGTAGGCTTCTTCGGCAAGTACCTCAATGAGTACAATGGCAGCTACATCCCACCTGGGTGGCGCGAATGGCTTGGATTGATAAAAAATTCCCGCTTTTATAATTACACTGTCTGTCGGAATGGTTTCAAGGAGAAGCATGGTGCTGATTATGCCAAGGTATTTGTTTCCATCACTTCTAAAGGGGAACCATTATTCCAGTCCCTCATTTGTTTTCCCTTTATGACCTAATCTAAAGACTTAGTCTGACAAATTGCAGGTTTCATTCCACTTCTAAATACAGACAGCAGAGCACTTCACTTATCATGGTGTTGTGATCCAAGCTGACAGGAATTTTCATTTGAGAATTAAAGGGAATGAGTTGACTGGAGGTGGCGTCTACTCTCTGCTGCATCCTTTTATTATGACGCACCTTTTCTCAACATTTAGACATTTTCAAGTTAAAGTGTATTTATGAGAAGCAAACATTGCCTGTGATAAATATTACCCCCCGCCCTCTAACTCACTGTGAAGTTTTGCACAAAGATTATGCGCTATATTAACACACAAAAAAAAAAAAAAAGAGAGGAAATTTCACTTTACCATGGTCTGACTGGAGATAATCATGTGGTTACACTGTCTTTTTGTGGCTCTGGATGGCATGGGTGATCAATCTTCCCCAAATGTTTTTGCAAGAGCTGTCAGTTTGTTTTTGCATCTCCATGCCAATATCTTCCAAGGTAGCTTTTCCCTTGGCATACAAGGAATCCATGAGCAGGGTTTATAGTTTGGATACATGTCAAGTTTCAAGACTGTCTGCCCAAAAGATGTGCAAACAAATGTTTGGACTGCTGCTCCCCTGCCAACTTGGACTAAGGTGTAAAAGTACTCACAAGCTGAGGCCCAGGTGTTTACATGACATTGGCTTGGTCAGCAGATTATGGTTTAAAACCAAATGGACACACGATTTGCTATTTACAGCCAAAACCCATCAACATGGCACCACTAGGGCAAACACAACTCCTCTTTTTAGATTCACACAGGGTGAGAAGTTTATGGTTCTCCACATGTAATGGCCTTGGCACACCAAGACATTGAGATTAGATGAGGCACTCACTCAGTGATTTCATTCAATTAAGTCTCATCTGGTTTTCCATCTGTGGGAGGATGAGTTCACTGAGGTTAAGGTTTTGTTGAATACTTTTTTGTGTCAGTTTTTATTGTAAAATATGGGATCCACATGTTTTTTCCTTCTAATTCCACTACAACAGTTAATACGGCACAATGCAGCCTGCTTGAGCGATTACATGTTATGCTTAATTGTCTTCAATTTTCCTCTGTATTGAGATCAGGCAGTTGGCCCTTCAAACCAAAATCGCCCTGCTTCTTTGATGTTCGAACCATGTAGGCTAGTGTTAAGCTTAACACTTAACATTCTGGAAACAAACCATGTGTGAATGAGTTGGATTTCTTTGATTGCCACTCTGTATTCGTCATTTCCAAAAGGTTGTGGGAGAAGTGATACTCTTCACCTCCTTGACCATTTCATAGCTGCTGGCAAAGCATTCTCCATGAAACTGTCACTTCCTTTGGACCTCCCAGACCCCTAAACAGCATTGACTCAATTTTGGGAAAGCCAGTTAACACAGGGAAACAAGCGCGGCATTGCTTTGCTCTGCCATGTGCGCGCAATCACCAGCCTCCATTGGCATGCACAGCCGCCAGGCCTTTAAAGCTGTCCGGACTATAAAGCCTAATAATAGAGACAGGATGAATCAGCCAGACACACTTCTGACATTTCAGGGAAATCACCCTTTACCCTTTCATTCTGAACCTGGCACTCCCTTCCGCATGTTGTATGCCAGACAGCAGCTTGCCAAAACTACAGGTAGAATGATTGGTCTACTTTCGGAAACTTGGCAAATGCTTTTGAGATTTCAGTTCAGGGTGTGACCTACTGTATATTTAAGAAGAAAAAAAAAAAGTCTCCAACATGGCTGAAATAAAGATTGTGATAAAATGTCAACGACTGTGGCTACTTTGATGTGACGATTTTCAAATTTCCTGAGTCTTTAAAGCAGGCAATACTTTTGCTCTTTCAGCATTGCTAATGTCACTTAAATTTAAAAACATAACTTGGGAATCTTACATCTTCTCCATCTCTATTATGTAAGTGACCTGCTGCTTGTTTCCACATTAATACGTGAGGCTTCAAACATTTTGAGCTTTTTTGTTTGTGATTTGTGTGTTCCATCATTTCCCAGTATGGATAACCGAGAAGGAGGGAAAGCACATTTAAAGAAAAAAGGGACAAAGTAAAGTGAATTAACATAGGAGAAAGAGAACGGATAGCCTGGAGTGAAGTACAGACGGTGGGAACTGTCATAACAACATACCATTTTAGAGCACCAGGCTCCTCTCACCATCAAGTGGTGTCACATTCAATAGTGCAGAGATCCACTGATGAGGCAACAGCCCGTATACTGTATACACATACACACACAGACCAAGTACACACTCTGATTTACACACACAGGCAAGCTGCCAGCTGTTGACTCGACAGATTGGTAATGTAGTGTACTCAATGGCCCCAGTTCATATCCCCACTGGCCACTCTCCATTTATTTGAAAATGACTGGACAAGGGTAGGCAACATGTCACGGTGATTGGACTGCAAACGAGTTTTATCAAGGCTCATGTTGTTTAGCATGTTCCCCAATTCCACCCTCTTTTTTTTTAACCCTCTGTAGCTGGGATTTTAAAACCTGCAACACCTAATAAATCCCATTTATTTGAGGTTTTTGCTCTCTTTTCCAGGACTATTTCACAGATTTGATCACCAACGACAGCATCAACTTTTTCCGCATGTCCAAGCGGGTCTACCCTCACCGCCCTGTGATGATGGTCATCAGTCACGCTGCTCCACACGGCCCCGAGGACTCGGCTCCACAGTACGCTGAGCACTTCCCAAATGCTTCACAGCACATGTAAGTTACATGCAGACTCAAATTATCGCACATGCTCAAACACATATGCTCATCAGGTTTCCCACAGAGGAATTTTTAGCGTTGTGAAGTTAAAAAAAAAAATAAAAAAATTAATGTTAAGGGCCCAGTTTTATAAATTACATACCCAGACATTCCTGCAGCTTTCATCTGCCCCAGTATGGAAATTTTCGTGTTAACATCCAATTAGGGATTTTACGATTTGGTGTACCTGACATTATTACAGTGCTCACGCCCCTCAATCCCCAGTGATGACAGGTTGCTTAGAAGCTGCTGGGGTCGCTGACTTAGCAAGCGTGAAATCAAAATGATTTATCATCCAAGAAAATGTGGGGCACGTACCATTAAGAAGATCAGTGTTGGCTTCTTTTAACAGAGCACTGTACTCATGCCAAGCCAACATTGGCCTCCCTAAACTCTCATCACTAAGTTGAGGCAGCACTCCAATACTCGGGGTCGCTCCATGGAAACGTGCCCGTGCCTTCTCTTGGTGGGCCAAGGCTCCAAAGGGTGCACTATTCCACTGGGTGGGGGGAGGTATGGTGTTTTTAGAGAGGTAGATGTAGCGTTCTCAGCAACAAGGCTCCTTTTTCTGCTGAATATTCCTCTTTTTGTTTGTTTATCAGCAGTTTTTAGTGTTACTCTCTTCCTTCCTCTTACTTTCCTTCCACTTAACATTCCACTCGGTCTGTTGGCTTCACTGCTCTGTTGTCTATCTCTATATCTCTGCTTCTGTTTCTCTGTTTACCTCTCCTCCTGTGTCTCCCGGTGTCATCTCTAGCTTTCTCATTCCTTGCCTATCTCCCCTTTCCCTCCCCTCCTGTGAAAATTCACAGAAGACTTCCTGTCCATTTCAATCAGTTTTCTCCCCGAGGCTCTTGGGGTCGATTGGAATGCATTGTGTGCATCTCAGAACACCCTTTGTGACATTATTAATTTATTTTTAGCTCAAGCCTTCAGGGAGTGGGGGTGGAGCCAGGGCCTGTGAGTGACTAAAGGGGTTGCCCCAGTGATTTTGTGTAGTTTGAGTGTGTGTGGATTATGTGGATTGGTTACTGTGGTGGCCCAGGTGGATGATGGATATGAAAGGGTGTTTGTTTTGGCGCTTGTTAAGTTTACATTTTCATAACACATATGAAAAAAGTTTTTTATTGGGAGGTGTTGCAGAGCTTGTTTCCTTATAGATAGAATTTATGCAAAGTTACATTTTGAAATGTGATAATTCTCTACATTTCCAACCTGCCTATGGAAATTGTTGTTGTCTGATCATCTTCATGCATCTGTCTGAGCAACAGATGAAATATACCTCTCAATCAAAATGCACAGAGTTGGGAAGAAGCATCGTGGCAGTGAAGCAGCAGCTGCCTCATAAATCATGTGGTGTCTGTACTTTTGACAGCAACAATAGCAGGGGAGGTTTGATGTTAATGTCATTAACATTCCTCACTGAAGGTGTCTCCTGGATCCAAGCGGAGCGCCTGACTTATTTTTAAACACTGTAGATGTGCTGCGGTTTTGCGGCGGCATGTCTCTCTGTAGCAGGGAGTGAATGGAAGTTATTCCGGTCGTAGCTCAACAAGTTGCTTCAGGGAATGTTGCTAATCCTCATGTGGGATATGTCCATGCTAAGTTTTGTAAGGTCAGGACAGGAGGCATTCTTGGGAAAACAGTGGGCCCTGGGCTCCTGTTATCCGGGGCTAATACCACAAAACATGACCTATGTGTGACAGGTGGCAGGTGTGACCTCTCCTATAGACTGGCTTGATTTTACTGACCTCTGCATTCCTGGTTCCCTGGTGCCCAGGGCCCCATACCTTGGTGGCCCATTGCCCAGAGACTAGTCCCTTTGTGGGGCTTATTAGACCGCCTGGCTAGGTGGGTGAAGAGTTCAGCCTGCTCACAAAGCAGGCCTAAGGAGACGAGAGCATAAGGCAGCTCACTCAATCAGAGCATAGCAGCTTCCATAGCAGGTCTCCGTTTAGTATCTAAGTCTTGATACTTTTTCTGATGTTGCTTGGACAGGAAAATGAACTGATTCACACACGCTATCATATAATAATGTATTGTAGAAGGGAGTGTATTGGCTTCGTCTGACTACAAATCTGCCTTAGATCCTGGGGATATCTAAGTATACTCAGAGTGTATTATTCTGTGATATAATATATATATATATAATATAATATAATATAATAACTGTATCCTTCTCCGTACTGTCTATTGTTGTGCTTTCCTTTTCAGCAGTCAGGTGAACAGGCCTTGTGTGCTCTAACACAAACAAGACTGCTTTTTTGTCCGCTCTTGTTATCCCTCATTTCAAATGACCAAGACATATTGACTTTTTGATCCAAAAGTTGTTGCAAACTTGACTTTGGGGAACATTATTTTCTTTCAAATGTGCCAACCCTCAACTGACTTGTCTGTGCCAAGAGCGCCACGGAGCACGGAGACTCTCGTCTCTGTGTGAAGAGAGAGATGGCCGGAGAGAGGTGTGGAAAAACAGCAATGCTGCCTACTGCTGAGTATTCGGACATTTCCTTTACCAGACAGAGCAGCTATTGACGTGTTTAGAGCGCAGTGGACCACTGTGGCACCTGTTACTGAGCAGTAGTTTGTGAGAAGTAGCAGACAGGTGTTTTTTGGCATCTGAAATGGGGCCTTACGTGCATCCATAAAAAATTCTCTCACTTCTTTGAGATCTCAGGAGATGCATGGTATACATGCATGTCCTATAAATCCTAAAAGCAGGCAGGTTTTTTTTTTCCCCACATTTTTCCTGACTCTTATCGCTGATGCTTTTTCCCTCCTAGCACCCCCAGCTACAACTATGCCCCAAATATGGACAAACACTGGATCATGCAGTACACAGGCCCCATGAAACCCATCCACATGGAGTTCACCAACTTCCTCCATCGGAAGAGGCTGCAGACACTCCAGTCTGTGGATGACTCGGTGCAGAAGGCAAGTGACTTTTAAGGTTTCTTATGGGCATGTAGTCATTGGAAAATTTCTGGGTTATCCATTGCCTGTGTTCTCATTGTCAACCATTTTACCTCGCAGGTTTATGAGATGTTAGAAGAAACTGGAGAGCTGGACAATACTTACATCATCTATACAGCTGACCACGGTTACCACATTGGTCAGTTCGGATTGGTCAAGGGCAAGTCCATGCCTTATGACTTTGACATCCGAGTGCCATTCTTCCTGAGAGGACCAAACATAGAGCCAGGGGCAGTGTAAGTCCAAACAACTTCATTTGCTTATAACATTACATTGCCTCCACTTTGTAAAAGGTCAATCATCTGTACTGGGTGTATCTTGATTGAGCATCTTGATTCTGTCAGTGGGTATAGTGTTATTTGAATTTGTTTAGATTATTTGGCTTTGTTATATGATATCACTGAATGTACACCAGAATTAAATCTTACGTGCCTGTTTTTCTGCAGAAACCCTCATATGGTTCTGAACATAGACCTAGCTCCCACGATCCTCCACATTGCCGGGCTGGACACGCCTCCAGACATGGATGGAAAGTCCATCCTTAAGCTGCTGGAACAGGAAAGGACCGGCAATAGGTCTGTATGGATCCATCATGGCATGCTTGTCATGGATATTATGTACAGTAATTGCACAGTGTGCATGATATGTTCAACAGTACCTTTCATTTACCATTATTGAGCAAATGCACATTTCCAGAGCCAAAATAATTGCGTTTTACTCCAGCTGAGCAGAAAGTGGGTTTAGGGCAATTTGGTGGATTTTCCTTGGCTGTGGTACTCTGGCTTAGCTTCACCGAGGCTCTGCTAATAAGGTTTCCTGTAGAATTTGTTTGCAGATTGAATCATTTCTTTCCCCAGCAAACACAATCAGAACACAATGTAAAAAATGAATGCAAAATCATTTTTCTTTATCAAGCATGTAAAAAAAGCACAAACTGCCATTTTCAATATGTATCTTTCTCTTAAGAAAATAGGTGCTTAGGCCTTAGAGTTTCTATTAACGTTGTGCGTTTTGTTTTCATAGATTCAAACCCAACCGGAAACCCAAAGTCTGGAGGGACACATTCCTGGTGGAGCGAGGGTAAACTGGACCTCTATATTTCTTTTCCACACCACAGACACATCCAGCCTATTGCAGAGCATCGAGTGTCACAAAAACCTGACGAAACATTTCGATGAACCAAACTGTGCAAGGCTCAGTGCATGTTCCCTCTTCCAGAAACGCAGCTGCTTCTCTTGTTATCTGACAGACGTTTCCTTACCGCAGTCGGCCTGGAAATAAAAAGCGCTGGAAGAGGTTTAAAACGTGATGCTGTTAGGTGAAGCTAAGAGCGGTTGGCAAGTTATGACGGTTCATGCAAGAGGCCCAAACATTGTGAAACAAGGTCGTTTGATCATTTACAAGAAAAACAAGCAATCTTTGTCTTCCAAGGAGCCTTTCATATATCAAGACCTTTTCTTGGGCAGTATTAGCCCTCTTTTCTTCAGACAGACAGACAGTACTTTCAGTAACATGGTGGAAATTGACTCATGCTAAATAAACAAAGGCTAGTCAGGCTCAGGATGATGTTACTTGAGGAAGGCCAGAAGACTCAATCCAGTCAGAGGTCACTAGCTCCCGAAGTGAGGAATGCAGCAGCCACACTATAGCCAATGCTTGATTATTTCCCCTAGACTGTTTTCTTGTAGTCCGTGCAAGTGCATACAGCATGCTATCAAAAACCTTGTCAGTTATTTACTCAGCCTCTCCTCGGCTGTTGGATAGCATGTTGATGATACCTCTAATCTGTCAGCCAGGTTTTGTTCATTTAACACAAAGTTTTGGCTGTGGTAACCTAAAGATTTGGAGAGAAATATTCCCATTCAGCTTTTTTTTGCAAGAACAAAACGTTAAAAAAAGGAAAGGTAGAGGACATCAGGACATCGGTAGAAAAAGGAGGGAAGAGTAACACTGGTTGGGGCCAGATTGTGCTGGCAGCTTGTGTAATGGTACTGTATTGTACAGTATGTCATGTTCCCCCACACAGCTGCTGTTTTTCCCCAACTATCATTCCCTCACCGTCCTTTTTTTTTTTTTTTTTTTTCTATCTTGGCCGTCCCATCTCCTTTCCACTAATATTGCTCGTTTGCGACTGCGTCAACATCTGCAGACACGAGAGTAGAAAAGAAGCAGTAGTTGGCTCTGCTGCTACTCATGCAGATTGGTTTCCTGCTGGGCTATGTTTGTGCAACAGAAGAGCTGGCCGCTCTGTGGACCGCTGAGTATGAAATGAAAAGAGTGTGGCCCTTTGACCTGTTGGGGCTTTAGCTCATTTAATCCATTCCTCCATTAATCCACACTGTTTATAAAGGCTGTCTGCTCGTGCGCTTGTCTCTAAACGCTGAGATTAGCCTCGACATACACACAAACAGTAGCTGATGTTTTTGTGTAGTTTTCTCACGTGTTAGGTGATGGTTCCCATGATTAATATCAGTTTCCTCATGCAACCTTACAGTACTGTGGCTTGGGGCCTGAATAACATGGGACTGACTACTTTGTAAATCCAGTCTTCTTCATAACGCAGACGTCAGAGAGCGACTCTGACAACAACTGCTAGCTCTTTAATCACAGTTGGCTAAATGCTAAATCCTACAGCCAAGCCAGTTTGTGAATATTGGCTGTTTTCCCCTGAATTAGAGTGCTAGACAGGACTGGACAAGACAACAGGCCTTCTTTTAAACGAGACAGGTTGTTTTGTACTTCGCAGTTGCCATCATTCTGTCTGCTTGTTGCGAGCAGCCAGGCCATGTTGGCAGAAAGTGAGGGATAGAGCAAGGGGACACAAGGGGGGCTGGTAAGGCCTGAACACAGACTCAAGCCAGGCCTTGTGGTAGTAGCGGAGGAGAAAGGGGGCAGGGTAGTTGAATGTGATGCCAAGCCGAGGTCAAACAGCTTGGCCTGGAGCTGAGCGCTGGTGTGACGCAGAGCTGAGCTCCATGCCCAGACCCACCGGCACACCACAGATGCTACATAACTTATCCATTCACTGGCCATGACCACGAGAAGCACACAGAATGAGCTGTGACAGAAAGTAAAAAACAGGAAACTCTTAAATTGTATAAAACTTTATGTTGGCTCCCTTAGGTTTAGTAATACTTTGTGTGCTGGCTCCCTAAATATGTCCTTTTGTTGATGCTTATTTCCTATCACCTTTTTTTTTGTGCCGCAGAAAGATCCTGAGAAAGAAGGATGACTCACTGAGTACTCAGCACACCAACAGCCTTCCCAAGTACAAGAAGGTCAAAGAGACCTGCCAGCAGGCCGAATTCCAGACACCCTGTGAACAGCCAGGACAGGTAACACAAACACACCCATCTTTTTTTGAGCAAATCTTTGAGCAAATCTTTTTTTAAAACACAGATGAGTTAGCCTTGATATCCACAAAGGGAGGTTTCTTTAGTTCTCTTAAATGTTTATGAGTATCACTGTTGAAGTGACCTCCATGCTGCCTGCTTAACTATTCCATAGAGCCACAAGGAAAGTAGCCATTTAAAGAGTGGATCCTGTAGCACTGCTTTGTGGTGCATTACTTACACTAATTAAAAAGACATTTGAGCAATTCTTGTTGAGATAAATTCTGAGTGAGTGTAGTTTGATTTAAATACATTTCAGTGTACTCAGTGTGTATGCATTTTAAACTGTGCCCTGTGGACGTGTACAGATTGTAATAACTTATTTTTTCTAATATGCCATTGCTTAGCATGAAGAGAGGATTGCACTTAACGCTTACGAACATGCAAGTGTCTCATCGTCATTTAGTTCTAATCTGTTCAGCTTCTCTTCTCTGTTATCTACATGCAAAGAGGAAGAGCAGGGGTCATTATCAGGGATTACGGAGAATATTATGCCTTTAAAGGACAGCTTACCTCCCTCTCACAGTGAACCAAACCTGTGGCTCAAACTGAATCATTTCACAGAAAGAGTTAATAATGGGCTCTTCGACAAGGATACGGAATCTCTGTCTTGATTCTGATTTAGGGTACAATGAAAGACGTTTTGTTTTCAAAAGCCTTAAAGGTTTAAATATGACCAAAATGATCTTCTAAGAGCATAGCCTCTGTGGGTTTTTTGTAACAAGGCTTCTGTGGTCCTTCGGAAATGGATGGTGTGATAACGCTGTGAGTTTGTTGTGGGTTCACCAGATTTACTCACCAGGGACATAGAAACCTCTGTGTATGTGTATGTTTTTTGGGGAGGGTGTGAGTGACGTGTGGTACTTTGGCTCTTTTTACTTCCCACTCATGTTTCAGCTTGCATGGTCAGCCATGTCTGCTTCTAACCAACCTCCACCTCCTGCTTAGTTTCTCATCCATCCCTGGAGTCCTGCTGCTGCTGCTGCTGCTTTGGTTCTGTTGTAGCTTGAAATTACTCACAGGACAGAAGGCGAGGGAGGAGGATAAAGAAAGATGGAGATTGTTTTCATCCCTGAGTCTTAATACATCTCTCCGTCTCTGTCTCTGCTGACATTATGTCTCTGCTGGGCCTGTAAGCTCTTCCTCACTATATGAGCCTGGCAAATGAAACCGGATCTTCCACATTGCTCTTTGTTTGGACCCTCATTCCCACACTCACCGCTGATCATTTGCACGCCACTTCTGCAGATACACATCTTCCATTTAAGCAAGGCCCAACTAGTGCTGCTACTCATATCAGTTAGCCTGGAGGTTCTTTAACTTGTGCGACTGGATGTTGAGAAAGACACAGATGATATATGCAAGTGGGTGGGTGTGTGTTTATTCCACTGATGATACACTCGGTCTCCGTGAGAATGATAGGGGTATCTTTTTTATTTTATTTTCTAGACACCAGACAGGCCCAGCTCATCTCATGTGGTCGTTTTGGTTTATCTGTCCAGCTGCTTTTGGATGCCATGCCAGGCGGAGATTTGCCTGATATATCTGTCAAAGGCATTAGTTTCAAAAGGAGACTCTAAAGTCACAGCAAAATAGAGGCTTTGTTTGAGATTAAGTTGTTCTGATTGTTAACATCTCGAACACTCATCAACTAAACGCTGAGGGAACATCTGGGATCGTGTTAAAGATACACATCAAATACACTTTTTGGTTGGTTCTAATTTGTAGTAATCTCCACATTTAAATTAGATTTAGAGAATAAAGAATTCATGTGGAAATGTTCTCTCTACTTTGGTTGACAGAAGTGGCATTGTGTGGAGGAGATCACCGGCAAGTGGAGGATACAGAAGTGTAAAGGTGGGTCAAAAGAAGGCTCCAGGAAGAGGGCCCGCAGCCTGAAGCCCCGCAGCAGTTACGACAACAGAGAGAGGGGCTGCGACTGCAGTGATGCTGCCTTTAAACCCTCCAGGGCCGACCGGCGCTCCCACCGACAGTTCTCCTCCTCATCTGGCCAGCGTGAGTGCACATGAATCTGTTATTGCTTCATCTAATGTTGTTTTAGAGTATAAAGTCATGTAAAGTCATGGAGGAATGTACGTACATGTGTGTAGGATTAGTCAAGATATCTCAATCCAAATGTAAAGAGCCATGTCCAAATGCATTGATTTTTTTCTTAACTTATAACTTTGTATTGATGTCTGCCTCTCAATACAAGTTTGAGAAAAAGAAATCTGCAAAGGCTCAAGGCTAGATTTCCTGTAATGGATTTTTTAAGCTCTAAAGGGAGACAGATGCATTGAAATAGCAAACATCCTGCAACAAGTTCTGCAATTTGTTCTGTGGATGTTTCCCTGTGTGTGTGTGTGTGCTTTATTAGGTTTATTGGATCCGAGTGGTGTGTTGCCCTCTAGTGGCGTGTGGAAAAAGTGCAACCCCAGAAATGTAACAACAAAAATGTGTTTTATAGGTTATCGTCCACGGTTTGTCCACACTCGGCAAGCCAGGTCCCTGTCTGTGGCGTTTGAGGGTCAGATATATGATGTCGACCTTCAAGCGGACGATCAGTCAGCTGTCCGCCGCCGCGTTATCTCAAAGCGACACTACAACCCTGAGGACCCGGAGTTCGATTTAGGGACTGATGACGCTTCAGAAGAAATGCTTGCAGATGACACGAACGCTGTTGGATACCCGAACTCTGTGAAAGTTACACACAAGTAAGAGGGATTAGCACAATGACGCACATCTATATATACTGTATGTCGGTCAAAGGAGCAGTGAATGACATGTGTGCTCCTTCTGTTTCAGGTGTTTTATCTTAATGAATGACAGCATCCATTGTGAAAGAGAGATCTACCAGTCCTCCAGAGCCTGGAAGGACCATAAGAGCTACGTGGACCAGGAGGTGAGTGGACACATATGAATCTTTTATTAGGTCGTCAAAGATTTGTTATACAAGACAAAAGATCATTGTTAATATTTGTTGCACATTTGATTGCAGATTGAAGCCCTTCAGGACAAAATCAAAAACCTCAGGGAAGTTAGAGGCCACCTGAAGCGGACACGACCAGACGAGTGCGACTGTGGAAAGAAGGGGTCAGTCATTACAAACTTACCTTTAAAGTGTCTCTCTTTCCTGCTTTTTCCATACAGAATGTCATTATTCTGAACATGTTTTGCACCTGATTCAAATCCCTTTCCCAAAATGCAAAGCCCAAAAGCATTTGTGTCTGGTCCTTAGTCTCTTTCTCTGTTTATAAAACCAGCTATTATAGCAAAGGGGACAGAAAAGCAGAGAGATTGAAGAGCAGGAATGATCAACTCCATCCGTTTAAGTGAGTTATTCTTCCCCTTTGAATGATGGTTTTCCCCCATTTAGTGTCATTCTTTATAGATTAATACTCATCCTGACTTTGCCTGATGCCCATGTTAGATGTCATTTGGCCAAACATCTGTAAAGATTTGCATGGTCACTGCATGTATATATAAAATACACCTTCATTCAGATAACTTTGTAGTCCAAAGATGACCAATTCAGCATGTGTGTGGTTTGTGTTTGTACTGTGATGTGACTATTTCCCTTGAACACAAACACATTCTTAAAAAAGCACTTTGTCTCCACGTTTTTAATTCAGTATTTGGTCCCTGAATGGTCTAAAAATGACAAAGCAGATGTATTGCAGGAACCCGTTCTTTACCGTGAATGTGTGTGTGTGTGTGTGTGTGTGTGTGTGTGTGTGTGTGGGTGGGTGGGGGTGGGGGGGGGGGTTCTGGAAGTGATTGAGTTGCATGGAAAGATAAAATGACTCAACAGAGGGGAAATCAGTCAATCCCTCAAACAAAGCGATCAACTTGCACCAGGAAACATTGGGAACACATTATGCCAATACAAAGCAGCTGTTTTTTTTCTCGGTGCCTGTTCTGTGTTCAGACATGGAGGACGATGGGACAGTGGCTAGAATGTCATCCAGAGAAAATTGGACAAAGTAAGAGCTTAAACATGAAAGTAAACAGGCTGTCATACCCTGGCATCAGTGATGCCTTCTGGAAGTCCCCTCAAGATCTTCCACTGTGTGGTTGCTGGCAATAGGGAGGGGATGTGGGCTGATGTCATCTTTGTGCTGCGCAGCTTGTTTGTAACATCTTTACCTTTTTTTCCGTCTGACAGGGAGGCTGCGGAAACCGACGGACATTCGCAGTTGTACAACGAGATCCGTAGGAGGAAAAAGGAGAGGAAGGTGAAGAAGCGGCAGAGGAAGGGAGACGACTGCAGCCTTCCTGGTCTCACCTGTTTCACACACAACAACGACCACTGGCAGACTGCTCCCCTCTGGTCATGTATGTATTCTCGCACCAAGGTCACCACAACGCAAGACAATGACCTTGAGACCTGTTTAATGTAGAAAAATATATTTTCATTACAAAAACTGTGGGCAACTCTTACTCACTCACCACATTAAGGCTACTTTTTCTAATGTCTACCTCTACCATTTCTTTATGAATCCATCTTGCACATCGCTTGTAGATTGTAACTGACGACAATTCATCTCTGTTGCTGTCTAGTGGGCGGATTCTGTGCCTGCACAAGCTCCAACAACAACACCTACTGGTGCCTGAGAACCATCAACGAGACCCACAACACACTGTTCTGCGAGTTCTCCACCGGCTTCCTGGAGTACTTTGACCTCAACAGTGACCCGTACCAGGTGTGTGAACATCTGTCTGCAGTCATTCAGCTGTGTCCCTGCATCAGAAAAGTAGCTGGAACAACACATAGTGACGCCAAAACAAAAATATAATGTGATGCTTGAGCTTCATTTGTTCTATTTTTTTGTATTACTTGTGCAGCTGACCAACGCCGTGTATGCAGTGGATAGGGAGGTGCTGAACTCTCTCCACGCCCAGCTCATGGAGATGAGGAGTTGTCAAGGTTACAAGCAGTGTAACCCTCGCCCAAAAGGCTTGGATACAGGTAAAAAAGAAAGAGCTAATATTTCACCTGTCCTAAAGCGTTGGTTCATGTGGACGTTTACACCGGGTATAGTGGAAGTTGTTATGCATTCAATGACTGAAGCAGAATTTACACACAGATGTGTTGGAGTGAAGAGAAGAGAGGATTACATTTGAATATAATGAATGTTCTAAAAACGAGAAGCTGCAGCAATATTGATGCTTAATATATTCCAGTCTTCTCTTCTGCTGTGTTGTGAGTCTGTTTCAGTCCCAGTGGTGTGTGTTTGCACATATCTGCATGCTGCATGTGTATGGGGACGATCCACTCAGAAATGTATGCTGAGATTTCCGGTGGAGGTCAAGGAATCACTCTAAATCATTTGTTGATGTTTGTTCAGTGTATTCTTTCCACACTCTGCACTCTCTTTCCCAGAACAGGACTTCCACTCACTTCCTCTTTTACATAAACCAAGTGTTTCCAGTTATTTAATGTTACAATAAAAATGAGGCCCTGTACTGTATCATTGGTACGTCCTGGCCGTCATCCTCGCTGTGACTCATTGAGTGTTGGAGATATTATTTTGAGGGTGCTGTCACCAAGGTAATAGAGGCTGTCGTTTTATTTCTGCTCGTCATGCATCAGTGCTAAAATCAGCCGTTACGTATTTTTACTACAACCACATGCAACCTCCCAGAGTACATATACCCTGCAGAGCAGGATGGAAGGGGTTAATAAGTAATAATGCTATGATGACCAAAGCATGTAAGGCCGAGCAGCAGCTTTCGTGTGTGGCATGAACCGGCTGCGTTGGTTTATGTCCTTAGGGTAAAAAAGTTAATGTCTGTAATTACCAGCTGGAGAGTGGAGCACTGGAGCGGCCAAGCTGCTCTGAGAAAACTGATTGTGTTTCAACGCTGGCACACCGGGCTTGTCAAAGCGGTGCCAACACACGTCACATAGCAGCCTAAAATCTCTTACTCGCACTGACTGCCCTCGCTCATGTGTGATGCCAGCTCCATGAAGCGATGAAATTGCTGTTGTGGTTACATCAAGTGATGTTTTTGTTGGAGGAATAGATTATTAAATTTTTAACTGGCCTCATGACATGGACCTAGCAGTAACTTGCTTCTATTTATGGCGTGTGACTCAAGGTTATCCAGTCAGGTGATAATAGCGGTTGTTTATTTTACTTTGAAGGGGAAACCCCCGTTAAACTCTGCACAACACAAGCCACTCAATTCTGATCCTCATCCCCTCAATCCACCGTTTTGAAAACCCACCATTCAAATCTCTTTTCTCCTCATTCTGATCATCCAATAATCACATTTGTCCCTAGGGAGTAGCAGCTGTGCATGAAGACATCTTCAGTGTGAATGATCTCTTTATCTCCCTCCCGTATCTCCTTGAATCAAAGAATTAACAATCGATTGCTTTTATTTTCCCGATCAGGAGGTAAAGAAGGAGGAAGCTATGAGCCACACAGGTATCCACCAATTTTTGTTTCTCTTCAGTGGCTTTTTTCTTTAACACCTGCATGGGCCGAATTCGCCTCATACCCACTAATCCATCCATCCATCCATGGAGTGCTGGCACTTGATCTGTGGCTGCATGCTGGGAACACGCTAACAAGCATAACAGATGATTTTTTTTCTCTCATTAAAGCAGCTTGATTTTTTTATCACCTCTGTGCACAGTATTTGTCTTCACTTAAAACTGCTGGGTAATGTCAGTCTGCAGCTATTTGAACATATAATCAGCAGCCCACATTGTCTCTGCAACAAGCTTCATATATTTGCAGTTGCCTGAGTCAAAATATAGCTTCCAACTTGTATCATAGCTATTCTTATGATAGCATGGCTAAAGACGTCCTTCAGTGAGATGCTGAGTATGTGCTTCTACTTGAGACCCAACCTAGCATCGAATGCACGTGTATGACAATGCATGATACTGTATCATCTCCTCATTCATACATCACACTCTACATGAAAGCATAAAGGAGAAGTTTGACATTATGGAAATACTCGTATTGGACTCCGAGAGTCTAATGAGAAGCTCAATGGACAACAGCTGATTAGTTTAGCTTAGCAGAGAAAAATAACTTGGTAATCAAATTGGCTCTTGAACTGTTTTTTTTTTTTAATTTGAGTTTGCTCATAAACCTTGGTGTATTTGTGTTTTTACAGGGGAATCAGGCTACTTGTTTCCCCTGCTTTCAGGCAAATATAGTTCCATACAGTACACATATGGAGCTACATTCAGGGGGAAATTAGCTTAGCTTAGCATAAATACCTGAAGCAGGCGAACAGAGTTAGCCGGGCTCCACTGTGAAAAAAGTGTAACGTAAAAACATTTGTGTTTTTACAGGGGAATCAGGCTAGTGAACTTATTATTGATCCATTGAGTACATGTATGGGGCTACAGCCAGAGACAGTTAGCTTAGCTTTGCTTAGCTTACCATAAAACTAGAATTGGGAAAATGAGCTAGCTTGACTCTGCTTCATAACCTGCATAATTTGCATTTTTCCAAGGAGTCAAGTTGCGTTGTTAAGCAGTGCTTTAAATGTTAATGCTAAGCTAAGCCAACTCTACGTTGACTGTAGTTTCATTCACGTTCTGTTATAAATCTTCTCACGTTCAGAAAGAGAACAAATAAGAACATTTCTCAAAATGTCAAAATGATTCCTTTTACGATCACCCTCCATGCCATGTCAGCTACATTCATATTACAAACCATCACATCAGTTCTCCAGTGTGTCACTGTCACAACATTCATACATTTGCTCATGGCCATTAGCTTGTGGTAGAATGGACGCACGAGTTGCTGTGACCTCTCTGTCCTCCCAATGACCTCTGTCTCTGACACCTGCTTACCAGGCAGCAGCAGCACCGAAAGTGGTCAAAGAGGAGACCAAGCCTCTCCTTCCTGTGAGTCCCTCAGTCTACATGCAACCATCTCCATTCTCTAGCTGCAGTACACACAAGAAAGCTCATCTTAACAGAAACTTGAAATAGCAATTGTGCTTCTTTCTCCATTTTTGACTTACAGACATGAAACAGAATCCAGGTTTAGCCTTTTGCTGCGAGTTTTCCTTAATTTGCCTCTTTTTCTGATAGCATTTTGTTTTGTTTTCTGTGGATACACCATTCAGCAGCAAGCTTTTCCTTTTTCCCCTCAGCATCTTCTTGGTTTTTTTTTTTTTTATAGTTGTTCCTTCTCCTGTTAAGTTTTTTTTCCAGGTTGCCTGACTTTGCATTTCGATCGAGTCAAGTCCTTTCATTAACTGTGCCATCATGTTTTCTTGTACTGCTCAGTTTGTTAGACTACTATGATGGATCATTCAATGTTTTTTTTTTCTGTCTGTCTGCTGTGAATTTTTAAGGCAGCATGTGTTTGCACTACTCATGGCTTGAGCTTAGTGTGGTTGCTGTGTTTATCTAGTTTATCTAATGCAGCTTTTGTGTGTGTGTGTGTGTGTGTGTGTGTGCTTGTGTGTGTGTGTGTTGCTTGGGGAATCAAACCCCACACAGCTGGCTGCTGTAGTGGGAGCAGGAGGCTGGGCATGACTGCATGCTGTCTCAGTAAACTTGAAAAGAGCTCCCTGTTCTTCTACTTCACGTCTTAAAAGTTTTTCTTTCTCTCTGTTTGGCAGCACACAGCCCATATGGGACGGACGACAAGGTTAAGCTGCCGAACTTGACGGACGAGGAGGTGAACTGGCAGGGACTGGAGGATCTGTATAGCATAAACGAAAGCCTTTATGAATTTAGGCCTGACTACAGCCCCAGCCCAGACAATTGGGCAAACTTTGAGAAGGATGTAGATATTATATTTGCACTGCGTCACGTTTTAAACAAACTCAACCGAACCCAAGACCCTGACGACTCCACCCTGCCAGAGCTGGGCTCCGGGGCCGGGGGTGGAGGCCTCGAAGAGGGCAGTGGTGAAGAGTCTGCCTCAGCCATCAACGTCTGGCCAGGCCTGGCAACAGAGGATCCCCCCACCACCCCCGCCCCCAGCAAAAGACCGCCGGCACCACCCACACCCAGGTCCACACTGGAATGGAAACTGGAATCTGTCAACGACCTTCCTGAGAGACTAAAGGAAAGACCTGGGGGGTCTGTGATGTCAGGGTCACTGGCCACTGCATCATCAGAAGGTCCAAGGAGAGACGGGCTGTTGTTCCAAAGCGACACGTGGGTGCAGCAGCTGGAGGAGATCGAGGGAGACTTCTTCAGTGGGAATGGACTGACTGAGCTGGAGACGCGACATGACACACTGCTGCGCACTCACAACAGCCTGCAGCTGCAGCCAGCAGTGGAAGGGGGCCCTCAGGGTCTCGGTCTTGGCCTGGACCTTGAAGAAGAGGAGGACATTTTCAAGGCGCAAGGCTACCTCCCTTTCTCCCCACAGACACTGAGGCCCAAGGTGCAGACCAGCACCCCTGGGAGCCCCCCCTCCTCACAGAGCAGCACCCCACAGAGTGTGGGTCATGTACTGCAGGTACTGCCTCAGACCACACTGCCCCTCACCTTGGACTATGAGGGAAGCGGCAGCTCTCTGCCTCAACCCTCTAATCAGACCCTCTGAGGCAGACGCTGGTCGCTACAGAGACACAGGGACACAGTGATTGGGAGATGAACTAGCCAAGGACAAAGGCATGTGAGGCCACCTCAATCAGAGGTGTATAATGAGTATTGAAATTATTGTTTATTTTTTTAAAGGTGCCTACATTTATTAGTAAACAGTGTTATGTTTTTAAATATATATTTAGTAAAGAAAAGCCTTAATGCAGCTAAACTTGAGTGTTGAGATTACAAATGGTTAATCCCACACAGATAACACACCATAATGTTTTTGATATGTTTTTATGAAAAACGAGTGTGAATGGTTAGCATTAGCTTTAGGTATGTTCCAGTCTTTAAAAAAAAAAAAATCCATTATCATAAATCTGCCTGGCAACAGGATAGCTAATCACTGTTTTATCACTTACATTAACAAAGTCAACATTGGACCTGCACTTTTAGCTCGGCCCTCCGCTGTTTGTGGAGATGAAATGTGTCCTACTTTCAACTTTCTTCATTTTTTTTATTCAACTTTAAGAACTGCTTTGTCACTTGTGAAAACCATCAACACGAGTCAAACAAAACCTTATTTATTAGAAGCTATTCTTAAATCTGTTATTTGATATATTTTATAGCATTTTATTCCTGTCTTTCCATCTGCTTTTATTAAAAGTATCAGATGTTTGGACAATCATGGGTCATCATGGGTTTTAAGTCATCATCTTAGTTATTCTCCTACATTAAGAATGTGCATTTCTATGTCTTTCTAGGGAATTAATGCACCACTGCACCAGCTCCAACTTTGTAGAGTCACATGCTTGTCACCATAGCCAGTTGTTTTTAACATTACTAAAAGTATCTGTACTAATTACAAGCAAATGTTTGCAAAATCACCTGGGCTCTAGAAAATATTCACTGAGTAACTGTAATGGGAAATGTCACCAGCTAATAACGTGGTGTATGATGTAGGTCTTTGATAATCCACAGAATATGTGGCTCATTGTCTAATCAGCCAATGTAACTCCCTTTGAAATGGTTATACTGTCTGACATCACACCGTCATGACATCACAGCTCTGGGTATGATCGTTTACAACTAAATGTGTGACATTTCTACTAGTTGTTCATCTCTGCTGATGCTGTCTTTTTTCTCTCAACAGTGTGTGTAGAAGTGTGAAAACAAAGTTTGGTTTCAGGAAAGCCATGAAGCTGTTGAGAAATAAAACCTTTCAACCTTCCCAGTGATGTTTCAAATGTTGATCCTTTGAAGGGAAAACATTAAATCAGCCAAGTTAATTTCCTTTTTTTTTACAGTTTTTAATGACAAATATCAAGTATTCAAGGCATTTGTAAACCAAGTGCTCACAAACCAACAATTAGACTTCTGCTCCTGAAGAACTAAAGCAATAAGAGCTCGACTTTCAGAATGCAGCTTCTGTTCACTTTCAGTTGAAATACTGATGAAAGAGAACGAGTTAAAGCAAAAATGTACAGTCAAACTGAAGTCGTCAGTGTCAGCAGTAATCCAGGCATCTGAGCAGCAGGTTTACAGTAGAGTCAGAGCAGACATCCCTGCCCTTTCCCGTGGATATGCTCGTGTGGAATTACTGCATGATTCTCTGTCCTGACCTACGGTTCTGATCTGTGCTGATCAACTCAGAACTTAATTTTAATCCAAGCACATTTAAAAAAAAACATGTTTTGAATCATCATTTGTATTGAATCAGTCCATAATCTCATACACTACCACTTTATAATATTGAAATTTGTACAAGATAAATCAATACTGTCACGTTGGTATTCCTGTTTGAAGGCTGTGGTAAATATGACTGTAAGGGGACAGGCAGAGAGTCATTACAGGTGGAGATAAGAAGGGCATTATGGGTAGAAAAACTTGTTCATCCTCCTGACAGAAAATATATATATATATATATATATATATATTTAAAAAGCACTGCCCCCCCACCCCCCACATGACATAAAGCAAATGCAACCCTTCCCACGAGAGTAATACTGTTCAAGCACCGCGACACAAATTAACCTTTTAATGCAGTTTGAAGTCTTAATTTTTATATTTGTCTCCACTATGGCATGGTGTTAGTTCATAAATATTCTCATAACTGTGTGAGCTCTATAATACGCTTCATTTGCTTTGTCAGTATTTACACAATGATCACTTATGATTATGTCAATTTGAGGTACAAAGTCACAATAATACTAAATCAGTTACTGCTGCTACCACTAAATCATCTTTACCTGGCAGAACAACATGAATCTCGCCAAAAGCATTCACTTTTTAAATATCTTCACTGCTTCCATTAACTAAAAGCCAAGGAATATAAAATAACTTTAGACAAAAAAAAAAAACCCAAATTGGTTTCAAAATGTGTGCCACTGAAGACTTTGTGTGCACCATCTAATACTGAATTAAGGTTGTTTTTTTTTTTTTACATCTTACGACCCATTTAATTTGTCTGAAAACAAACCCTGCCTCTTTAAATGGCGGTCAACCAAAAAAATACTTGAGCCCAAGGTAAAAGAAAAATCTAGTAAAACATCCGCCCTTCTCAGATTTGTGCTGGTTAAAGACAGATCTTTGCCCGCAGCAGTAATGTGGTGTACAGCAGGTCATTTTTTGTAAAAAAGAAAAAAAACAAGCTAAGTTCAGTGCAGTGTTCCAGTTTAAATATTAACCTTTTAACCAAGAATCTCATAGCACAGTAGGTCTGATAAACAGCAACATTCACTGGCCTTCACACAATCTTCTCAACGTCCACTTGAGGGCACCAAACACCCAGAAATGGAATAATCAGCGGCACATTAGTTTCACTGATAAAAGTTGGTTCACTGTTGTTGAGCATGCTTTCTGCATCATCTTTTTTTCTTCAAGTCTAATCTACTAGATCACTACTATTTACATCTAATGACAATACAAATGGAGAAGCCATTGCACAAAGCCAAAATGATGCATCTTTTCTATTTTTTTAATGTTACAATAGATACAAATAATTTTACTTTGAAGAGATTTAAAAATGGGTGAAATTTGTTAAGAAAAAAGTACAATTTTGTTGCATGTTCTGAATCTCCATTATGTTTCCAGTTCAAGTACAATCACATGTTTAGGACTTACAGTAGCTTCAGCACATGGTCAGAGATATGAAACCTTCCTTATTCCTCTCTCCTGTTTCTAGTTACTTTTTGTATGAATTAAGTAGTTTCATAAGAACGAAATAAAGATATCTAGCTACCTGACAAGACATGACTTTTCACAAGTCGTTTAACACTGTACCATTGGTGCTTGTGGGCTTTAAGCTACATGTTTACCTTTCAAGGCATGGAACTTTGTCTGTCCCTCAACACAAAGCTGAGGGAAACAAAGCTCACGAGCTCCTCACATAGAGGACAGTAACTGGCTTTTTCGGTAGCTAGCATGTAACCTGGTAGCTAGCTTTGTATACTGGACTGGCCGAGACAGCCTGAGAGGCACTGTTACGAAAATATGTGAGGGGAATAAAGATTGTGAGAGGACAAAATCAGATGGATGGAATGGCTAAAAAACAAGGAGATGGCTGATATGTTCAGCGCTCAGAACAACAACAAAATAACAGGATTATGAATTAGCCAACAACACATTGGTCTGAATGAATGAGGCAGGGAAGACAGAAGAGTTTCAGATCTAGTATAGAGAGAGAGAGAGCTGTACAGTACTGAGAAGGGAGGCGCTGTACATTGGATCTTGCATAGTACAGGTTTGTCACTTGTGCTTTAGATGTCTGTAAGGAGATTGTAATGCCCTGCCCGCTAACAGTAGCACCGTGTGACGTCTTTACATCATCCGAACCTTGAGGTGGAGGTCTGACTGTTTGTGTGGCTGCAGCTGACCTGTTATAATAAACGACAATGAGCAGCCCTTTAGGTGAGGTGGGCGCACCTGTGTATCTTCCTGTCAGTTGAGGAGCAGGCTAAAGCCAAACCAGGTGTCTGATTGGTGCGGCGCAGACACCGTGTGGTGCAGAAACACAAACAGAAAGGCACATGTCACGATGAAGCCCAGGCTTTGTGGCTCTCAGACATGGGCGGAGCCTCTGTGGTGATGTGGCAACAGGATAGGCGGGGTTATTGCTTTGAGGGCATTGCCTGGGCAGCTGAGGCTACTGTGGCCGCGGGTGAGCAGCAGGGCGGCTGGTTGGTCGGGCCGCGGCGGGATGAAGATGGGGCAGGAGCGGGTGCGTGCGTGGCTCTTCTGGCCGCCGGCATGGCAGATGAGCTCGCTGACGGTGCCCAGTGGAGGCAGGTGCTGGCGCCAGCGCTCGGTACGCTCCTCCTTGTGCTTAATAGAGTACCAGGTGAGGAAGATGAAGATGAAGCCGACGAACTTGAGGCTGGCAGCCAGGCCAAAGTAGACGAATCGGAAGGAGGTTACGTCGTACTCCCAGCAGGAGCCATGCACACCGCAGTCCTGCTGCCACAGCATGCAGGTGGTGTCAATAACAGCACCAAAGTAGATGGGTGTGGGGATGTAGGCTGCAAGAGGAGAGAGACCAAACTGGTTAACAAGACCTGTACTAAGTCCAAATCCAAAACTTTGTACTGATATTTAGGATCAAGTGTATTCCCGCTGCAGAAGAAATAACTTTAAAGGTGCTGAAAGTCATTTTAATATGAGATTAATTTATCATATTAAGTTTGTTTATTAGCATTATTTTAAATATAGTATGGGCAAAGGTTAGGCAACAGCAATATTGGCTTATTTTATCAGTATTTTATCTCCTCAGTCAGAAATATTTAATGTGATAGAGAAATAATTCATGTTTTACACAAGGTGTTCTGCAGATTTAATTGTAGAAGTAAGTATGCATTTTTATTTTAAATACCTGGAGAAAAAAGAAAAACATTATTTTCAAAGCTTCCTTTCTATTTACTAAGAACAGTTAGTTCACAGTGAAGTGCACTTACTTCATGATTACTTGCTGCAAAGTCAAGTATGTACAGAAATTATGGCTAGAATGCCATTGGAAGAGATACTAAACTAAATGCACTTGAGTGCATGCAGCACTTACATTCCACCACTAGGTGGAACTATTTCACCAAGATCAGAACTCCTGTAAACCACTGAAAGTTCACAAAATATTTGAATGTATTTCAAATCAATTCATTCATTACAACCCGACCAGTAAAGACAGCATCAGAGGAGTAAATACTTTGTTTAAACATAATGTATCTCACACCGAGTCCACAAAAACAGAACCTTATGAACTGGTTTTTAAAATGTATTGCTGAGCTGTGCTGCAGGATTGCATCAGACTGGATAAAGAACATGATTACTCATTATTCAGACCAAACTGTAAAAACACACACACACACACACACACACACACACACACACTCTCTCCTGACCCTGATCTCACATGTTGAGATGGTTTAAGAAGAGTGACAGCTTTATGTTCACACAGACATATGGAGCGGAGCAGAGGCGAGTTCGGGCAGCGCTCACTAACCCTGAGGGCTTTTCTACACTTATCTACACAGAGTTCACAGAGGTCCACTACAGAGCTGCAGCCCCGCTCACCTTTCAAATTGTAGGATGTTAACAGGGAGAAAATGACAGCCTGTAGGTTATGGACCAGCTGAAAAACCTCGACTATAATAGCTTGATTAGAGACACGACTCTACTATTCACTAATTAAATATATAAATCATCTTGTGTTAGCAAAGAGAATGGGGCCATAATATGGCAACACAAACACATTTTTCCATTCTTATCCAGACCTGCAAACGACTAAACTCTACTTGATCATTCACATAGTGTGCTTTGAATATTCTGCAGCTTACCAAGAGTTCGGAGCAACACAAACTGCATGCCAAGAGCAAAAGGCCTCTCCTGTTCATCAACAGACCTGAGAGAAGAGACAGAATGTAAATGATACAGATTCACTGCACTGTATCCGAATAAAGGACAGAGGAAATAAATCAACCTTCATAGCAGAGTAGACAAAAACAACCAGAGGTAATACTTTAGAGGTGAGCTGATTCATACCTGAGTGTGACGATGATGGCGGAGGGTTGGGCACAGGCGGTGATCAGAGTGACAATGAAGAGGAAGATGAGGAAAGGGATGAGAGTGTTACAGGTGCGGTCGCACTTCCCCGACACGGCGTATCCATTCTCGTTCAGGTAGGTTTTAACGATGACTAGCTGCAGCTGGTTGACCTGACCGCCAGAGGACGGTGTGATGACCTGTCTGCTCTGCACACAGCCGCAGTCTGTGTAGTTCCTGATCTGTAAAGAAAACAAAAAAAAAACTGTCCAATCAGCTGGGAGTCCTCTAGAAATGCAGCCAAGGATTATTTTGGTTATAAATGATCTGGTGGTTATTATTGCAATCATGCAGGTAGGTATAGTTTGGACTATTAAATGTTAGAAAGCTGTGAAATAGTTCAGCACGATTTTCCAGAACGAGAAGGGAGGCCTGTTGTTACTCCAACAGTTCAAAAACAATCGGTGTACTAAAAGACATAAAGAGACATTTTAGAGGCAGGAACCAAGAAACTTTTCAGCTGGAAATCACCAATTCAGCTATTTTCTCAAAGTATCTTGACAATTGTTGTCTGTCATTAATTGTCACAGATACTGAGTCAATCAATCATTTTAAATTTACTCAAATCTGAACTGTTAATTATCTAGCCACCACAGACTGGGTGGCACCAACGATGGGCTCTACACAGAATCTAGACAAAGAATCTAGACATTTCCTTTCCTCTTGTTACTATAATTTCCTATTTACTATTGTGGCAGGGGTCCGACACTTATTGTTCTTGGGAGAAGAATGTGTATTGACCAGGTCTTTGTGTGTGTGTATGCAGCAGGTCTTTGTGTGTCCATTAAGATTTAATGTCTCCTTTAGCTGAGTTCAACAAATTCACATTTATTGAGCCTTTCTTGTTAACTTAATAATAATATACTTAATGTATAAACGGCTTGATAGCAAATATTTCAGACTGAACAACAATGAAGTTGTGTGTGTAGCAGGTGTGTGTGTGTGTGTGTGTGTGTGTATGTGTGTGTGTGTGTGTGTGTGCGCTCACCCCTGTGCTGTCGTTGCCCACAGCGCTGCATCCAGCCAGGCATGGGTTAAAGTAGGTGATGCCATCAGAGCCGCAGACCGGAGCGTACTCGTGGATCCTGCAGCCACAGTTCACGTTACAACTGCCCGTCAGGTTTCTGTGGGTCATCGTCAGGGTCGGCCTGCGAAGGTGGACACACAAAAGATGTTTTAAGAACAGGGAATGCATCATTGTTTATATTTACTCGAAGAAACTACCACAAAACTGAACTGTGAAGCCTGTATAGTAGAAGTACTGTTTAGTGCTTTTTATTACAGAGCAGGGCCTTCAATCGTATTAGTAGACCGTGTTTCTGAACTGTTGGATGTTTAAATGCACAAGACTGTTTTGTTTTACTCTGCTAAGCCAGTTAGCATCAAAGACCGGGAACTTTTAAATATCTGTAGATCTGTAGGAGCGTTCATTCTTTTTCGACATTTGAGTTTCTCATTGTTACACTTTTGTGTTTTTAAAGTGGGATAACTTTAATGGAGATAACTATAATAATAATTAATATTGAAAACAGATTTATGGTATCTATGTTGCATTTTCATACTACATTTCTAGACAGAAACGAGTTCCAGCAGAAAAGTCAGCAGTGTGTCTTGTCCTGACTCGTCTTTCTGCATGGCAGCACTGCATGAAGTTTACAGGAATAAAAAAAAAAATCAATGTTGTATTAGTAGTTGCTTTTTAACAGTATTGAAGTTTAACTGTTACATTGTGTATTTAATGTGAGGTCAAATGTCAGTATAAAAGAGGCTACCACTTTTCTCTACAATGCTTACTGTAGTCTCATTATTCATCTGCAGCACATCATCATTTAAACTTCCATCCAGCCCCCCCCCCCCACCTCTGTGATGTGTGATGATAGAATGACAGAGACGAAGGGGGGCTGAGGAAGTAGCACCTCCAGCGGCTCGACAGGCAGTGTGGGAACAGTTGCTATAAGCCAAACTGGACTTCAGCTTTGCCTGAAGCGGGAGCAGTGGAGCGAGTGGAGGGTTTTCTCTGCGAGGCTTCGCTCTGAGCTCTGCGGAAAAGCCACGGACACGCTGAACTAACACTGACAGGACATCTCCATCTGACTGTTTCATTTGTCAGAATTTGTTTCTTTGATGCCAACAACTGATATTCTTCAAAGAATACATTGTTACATAAGCAAATGAAAACCTACTAAACATGGGAGATTAGAAAACCCTCAGTTAACAATCATCTCTCACAGAAAACTTTAGGTGAACTCTTTTTGTATTGGACGTCCCATTGTCATAACCATGTCACATTCCAGACACTCTGTGTGAGGGACAGACACAGAGTGTGTGTGCTGTTAGCAGAAAAAAGGCATCAACCCTTTTGGATTTGTAACTTCACTGCACTTATTGAACATGCCCTTTTTTTCTCAGACTTAAGCCTGTCCCTTGTTAAACCCTACAGATGCTGGGCCTCTTTGTGCTCGCAGCACCGCACACAAAAGATCCAGAAAAGCTTCATGTGATTCAACACTGCAGACACTGAATAGAAAACAAATACAAAACATTGTATTTTGAGGAGGTGTGGTTTTCCATTTCTGATCACTGGGTAGTTTCATCGGGAAAATGAAATCAGCCAGAGCTTTTCATAAAGACAATTCTGCAGATTATCAGGAACATTATATCAAGTGATGTTAGCTCGAAAAGACATTTCAAGTCTGTCCAGTCCTCTTTTTTTGTCAAATTGTCTCTTATGTGTCTATAGGGGGGACAGCTCCGTCTAGACTAGTGTGAGAAAGTATAGACGGGTGACACAAAGGGTGGGTTTGAGCGAAACATTCCTCATGTGGGTGCCACCAGTGACTGGTGAGCAGTGCAGTTCATAATGAGGAGCCCTGCCGACTCACACGTCTTGTTGACCCCTCTATACACAGCGGCTTGTGTTGTTAATGGGTCAGCTCTGTGGCTTTAAAGGGCACACCGGCTATTTGGCAAATAGTCACTTTGATTAACGTAGTTATGTGAAAAGTCAATTTCACAGAGATTTAGCAGCTTCACCTGTGTGCGACCAATGTTTCAGGAACTTCTCAAAGAGAACACATGACATGCTCATACAGCCTACAACAGGGAGTGATATTAAAGTATGTATTTCAATCTTGTACTATTAAGTATGAGCTTGCAAAAGTAATCCTTGAGTTTTTAATCAATTTTATGAACAAATTCAACAAGCATCATGCAGTGTGATGAGGTCAGTTCATGGTGCCTCAATGCGTCAGGGTCTATGTGTGTGTTTATTAAGGCCCTGACACACCAAGCAGACGGCAAAGAACTAGTGGCTTCCGTATTTCTTCTCATGCGCTGACTCTCCTGTTTCGCTTAGCTGAATAGCCAATCAGAGAGATTCCTACCCCCAACCGCGAAGGCGACTGCTCACACCCGATTCCACGTGTGGAACCGCGAAAACTAGGGCAACGACCGCTGACCGATGGTCTCCTTGGTGTGTCAGGGCCTTTAAGGTGTGCATGTGTGTTTGTGCTCTGTATTTCTGTCTGTGAGGCCTGACACATCTGATGACAGTTTGTGAACTCGGCTGCTGACGCTTAGTCGAGATTCAGATTCAGAAATAGAGGTGGCAGAATGATTCACTGGAGCCACGAGAGCAGATGCCTCTGTTGCTAATTAGTCATTCTCACTCAAACGCCACGTCACAACGAATGAGGATGACGAGAGCGATGACAGCATCCCAGCCACACGGCTTCCTCCACTGTGAGTGTTTGATCGAGACAGTTATTAGAGTTTCATATAAAGTTTTATCCAAACATTCAGGTTTACATCCATGAGTGTTTACCAAAGAATGACACTGTAACTATGGCCTGGGAGAGATATTCGTAAATTGAAGATATTAAAATAATGAATTTTTATTTTTCGGCTTTTTACGCCTTTATTTTTAGACAGGACAGGAGAGTGGTAAATTAGGGAGAGAGAGAGGGGGGGGGATGACATGCAGGAAAGGAGCTACTGGCCAAATTGGAACCTGGGCCGCCTGCAAACTAACCACTGGCCCACCAGCGCTATAAGACTGCAGCGCCAGGATGTTCCAGAGATTTTGCGTTCCAGTAAATGGGAAAGACTTGAGTCACATCATATTGCCCTTTGACCACCAAATTTATAAGTGTGGCCTTGAGTCCCACTCGTACTTTTTAAAACGTCTCTCACAGCGGGAGATTTTTCTTGCAGACATTTAACTACAGGGCTGATCGTAAAGGTCTGGATATGGGTAAAGAAAATACATGTCTGTTTGGGTGCACAGACAGCTGATCCGGAAAATTTGGGGGAAACTTTGGGAGTGCAGTGCAAGTGTGAAAGTGGACGTTTGTAACAATTATGAATTTATTCCCTTCAGATGTTCTTGCTTTATTACATTCACAAGAACAGTTTGGTGATAAAAGAAAAGTTGTCTCGTGTTTCCTATAGATGAAAAAAAATGTTGTCCATTTATCATTCTGCCATGTGATGAGTTATGGACTCATCACATTTTAAGATCAAAGCGACTGTGACCTTTAACCACCCAAAAATTCAGGACATTTTGTCTAGGTCTCCAAAAATTGGAGATATAAAAGACAGACAGACTACTGATGAGGGGCTGTAGGATCAAGGAGCAAACATTTGCATGTCCTTACCCGGTGGTGTAGGGTATGTTGATGCCTCCTAAGTTGATGCTCTCACAGCCGACGATGAAGAGTGTGGAGAAGCAGAGCAGAGACACACCGCTGCAGATCATGGCCAGCTTGGCCGACTCTCTGGCGCCGAGCTTCAGCTTCTTGATGATGTAGCCCCCCAGCACAATGCCCACCCCGGCACTGGGTACGATGATCAAACCTGTGAGAGAGATCAAAGAAAGGAGGAAGGACGTGTTAGAGAAATTAAGAGGTGTCGCAAACAGTACAGAAATAGAGCAGCTAATTTATTTCATGAAAATGTCAACGCCTATTTAATTACAGTAAAGCATGATTGACTTTGTGGAATAAGAACATGTGAGACTTTATGATGTCTTGTTGGACACAGTTGCAAGAATATGAAACATTATCTGAATGTGATTAACATGTCAAAGCAAGAATAAATAACTTGATCTAAAAAAGGAGCAGAAAATGCCTGTCTGCATCAATGTGACCGTGCTACGCTGCAGGCCATCAGTGGTTGAGTTCAGGCTGTGACACGTGCGCTCACTCTACTCGAGCTACTCTAATTGACAGCATGGAGACAGAAGAAGTGTCATGGTGCAGGAGATAGAGCCCAGGGAGGCTGCACATGGCCACCCTCCAGCCTGACCAAAGGTACTCGATGACATGTAATGAGCATGACGCCGGCAAGGGCAAAGGGTCATCAGAGAAAGAGGATCAGAGAGATGTCATCGGTATAATCTGAATAGAAGCATGTTTGTGATTGTGTGCAACATAGATACCAAGAGAAAGTCAGAGAGGGAGAGGGAGTGTCCGTGAGCACGCTCAGTGAGAGCTGAGCAACAGACAGCTGTAACAAAACATTATCCTGTAAGTGCATGTTTCTGTGCTAAAACCTTGAGCTTTCTGCAGGATTAAACATGTACACTGCCAAAGCAGATATCATATCAAAGTGACATATACACACACACACTCTATTTCATGCTACACAAATTATTTACAGATATCTTTTCTGGATTGCAATGCTGGCATAAATGTGAGGGAGTATTTCTTTTATAGGATAAATATGTGCATGGACACATGTCATTGCTAATCTGTTACAGCACAGCTCTTAAAATGAGAAAAGCTGCAATGGAAGTACAAGTTGTTATAAAAATGTTTGTCTCTTGCCGCTTGTAGAGAAAAGCCTGGGACAAACACAAAATTTGAGAGTGCATGTTTGAAAGGAGAAGTGTCTGAGGTTGGAAAAGCTACTGAATAATCAGACACACAGGCAGAGAGCAGGGAAAGTGCCAGCTGAGGGAGGTGTGTGAGATATGTTACAGTGCTATTTCTGTATCAACATCTAATGAGCATGTAGCAGCGATGGCTCTTTAACCGGTCCTGACACACACTCGCACGCTGTTTGCTTATGTTTTGTTCTGAAAATCAGCTGCCATTCAGCTAGACAAAGCCACCATTCATTGCTGCATTTCCTAAATTCTTCTACATACATATATATATATAGTATGTCTATTTTCAGAATAATTGTTTAATCCATTACACGTTTGTGACTTCCAAAAGCATTAAATGTATCTCTTTCTGAGCGACTGCCCGCCCACAAAAAGAGTACATTTTCCCTCTGCAATCTCAACACAAAGTTTATCATAGCTGGTCCAATGGTAATAAGGGCTGGGCTTCGTTGTTGTTGTTTTTGTATAAACCTGGTAAATAACTTAAAGTTGCTTTAACTGATTTTTGGCCATAGGAGCAGTGGACACAATATTTTAAGGTGAACCTGTTTTAATACTGTTGCTTAATACTAACATTATATACAAAGACTGAGGGGAGTACTGAACCACTAAATGCTCTACTGGGATCACCAGCTGCTTGATCACTTTTCTGCCTGTCTTGTTGAAGTTGCTGCTGGGGGTAATGCACTGTGGGCTTTATAGGATCAGTCTCCTGCTGCATACAAAAAAAGAGACTGAACAAAGCTGCTGGTCTTAAAAAAGACATCTTCAAAAATGCTACAAGGTTCTATAGAGCTGAAGAGAAAAGCACAGTAGTGCTATAATTCTCCTACTAGTAACCCAACACCAGTCATTTTTGCTAATTGTTAAATAGCCAATATAGTTTTGAATTTCTCATTAATTGGCTAACAGATTGCTTTTAATTCCACACATTTACAACAGGAAGTTAGGGAAGGACCTTTAATATATATTAAAGAGATTTTAGAATCAAACAGCGCTGGAACCTTAAAAACAAACAGTTATAACCCGTCACTGCTGGCTGGTAAGAGAAGGTTTAAGAAAGCAGAGCGCAGTTTAAGCATTACTTTGTCTTTTGAGAAAGTGACATACATAGTCATACATACAAAGATACTACTTCAGAAGCTGATGTCTTTTTGTGTACTTTTTGTTTAATATATAAGCATGATGTTAACATTTTATCCAAAGAATACTGTTTTAAAGTCAAGCCTCACAGAGATAATAACATGATTATATATTATTATTATTATTATTATTATTATATAATATTTTGGCTTTTACTCTTTTTTTTTATTAGCTAGGAGCATTTCACACACAAAAGCAGTTGATCATTATTTCTGCTTAATAACAGAAAATGTGGGTGTTGTTTTTTATTTTATTTCTCTGACTGCAAATCTTTCAATTTTCTTTTTAAAATGTTGTTTAAATGTAAGGTAAGTTGATCTTTTTGTGATTTACTTTAGGTTCGATAAAGCACTTCCCAGTTGATTTGTATCAGTAAATGCTAACAAAGAGATAAAAATGCTTTCTAAGCTGAAAACATCTTAACTAAAATCATGTACTCATTAAAGACAGAAGTCTGTCCGGACAATGTCACATGTACTGACTGACATGGTCCATCTGTCTGCCTGAGGTCGGAGGCTCTGTGCTCCTTCTCCTGCTCCTCTCCAACCATCATCACATCCCAACAGTTTGGCATCCTTTGGGTAGCTATGGCAACAGCACCATCCGTTTGCCATTAACCCTTGTATCCTGGCAACAGGCAGATGAGATGAGGCAAGGGTATTGTGTGTGTGTGGGTGTGTGTTTGTGTGTCTAGAGATGACCATACGTTAGCTTGGAAATAATTGGACACACAATAATGCAAACACCTTTTTTTCCCCTTTCACTACATGTAGTGAGTTAAAACATGTACCCTTGATATAATAATACTCCTAATTTTAGATTATGTATCGTGTATTTGTAGTTCTGACTCAGACATTTTCATTGTACATCCTTCATATGTGGTGAAGTGTGTTTCCAGCAGTCCACAAAGACATGTGTGTTTGAGTCAAGGATGTAATGAAAGAGCATCACTGAATGAAAGTCAGCTACTCTCCATGAATCACTGCGCTGCTCTGCAACTGTGAATCACCGTGTGAGCACATGGAGAGGTGAGATTACACGGCAGCTTTAACTGGTGCACAACAATAGTGCATATTGTACACATGGATGTGCCTTATTTCAGGACTAGGTCCCAGAGAATAAAATCAAAGAATGAAAAAAAAGATTGACGAATAAACCATTATTCACTTGTGTGTAAATGTCTGATATGATCAAAATAATATTTCAATAAATGCTGCAGTTTGGGGAAATACATTTGAATGAGGGCCATTCTTCTGTGGGCCGTTGTGCCTCATTGATCTCAGTAATCACAGATCTTTGCACTGTTCAATTATCTTGTAAAATGACAGCATTTCACATTTCACAAGAGAATGCAAAAACATGCCTGCGTAGAAAAGAGAATACTGAAGTAACAAAAGGGTCAATAAAAGAGACAAACGCAAAAATATCAGAAGACTTACCGGTGTAAATGCTGGCATTTGAGGCGGGGATACCAAACTGTGACTCAATAAACTTTGGGATGAAGGTGATGAAGGCGGTGACGATGGCGCACTCTGCCGTGTAGGACAGACTGACAAACAAGAAGGTCATGTTGCTGAGGATCCTCAGTGCTGCCTTAGGGAGGTCTGAAGAGGGAAAAAAGACATGACAGAGATCTTTATTACGGTGTGCTGTAATTAACAAACAATCAGACTCCCACACAAACTGAGCTCGACTGATTCACTTGAAGAACGATCATTTCTAAAAAGCTGTGAAGGACAAAAGAAAGAAAAAGCTTAATATGTGAAACAAAAGAAACTTTTGGTTCGGTTGAATGAAAACCAAAGGTGAGAAAAGAGAACTTTTAACACCACCTTCAAGTGTCTCAGAAACACATGTACACTCAAACACCCTCAAACATGCCTTCAGCCTCGACTCATTAGATTTGGATAAGTACATTGTTTCACGCAACTATGCAGAAGCAAACAACAAAACATAAACACACAGATGCTCCTGTAATGTAGCCTGAAAACAAACCAAGAAAATCCTGTAGCTAACAGCAAGTTTGCTGTACAGTAAAGTATGAGCATCATGTGAGTCTCTGCTGTGAGACCGAAACAAATGCAGCTCTGTAAGGCCAGCTTGAATGATGTCATCCTCAGTTCATCACAGCAAGATTGAGCATACTCTAAAAGTTGGTTTCCATGTGGTTTCATTATCATACAGTTCACCACCTCGTCCTGACGCTCAAGAGATTATAAGTACATAACTGTTACTAAGCAAACTCAAACGATTAGATCTCTATACTCCAGCACTTGTTTGCATATGTCTGAGGAAGCTTTTTAACTTTATTAATCCCCACAGATAAAACCCATATGCAACTAACTGATGTCAGATGCCGTAAAGAACGTTTTCCAACTAAGAGCTAAGCTTTTCACTTACAGGCACATCAACAGGACAGATGCTTGCCGTCATAGCAACTCTTCAGACTATGTCCTGAATCATGACTCACACCAAACAATGTCTGCTTAACAGCCTCTTTTGCATGGCCATTTGCCTTTACATTTTCACCCATTTGAAACTTTGGGAATTTGGGTTTATGTATTGTCAAAACTGTGATTTAATGAAGTGTATTTGATTACAGCATGGGTTTATGATTCTATATGTGCGATATCTTAAGCGAGACAATATGTATCAACATATATTACATTTAAATCATACTCATCATATGAGCACAAAAAAGTGTTATAGTATTAAGAAAAAAAACATTATATTATGGATAAAATTATTTAAAACTTGTTTTTAATTCAATCTGAACAGATGGATCTGTATTTGTATTTATCACAGTCCCAATAACTGTTAACGTTATAGCACTACTTTTGCATTGCTGTTCACACGTTGCGATTCCACAACAGCATCAAAATGTAGTTTCAGCGTCATTACACCTTTACACTGACATGATGCCTCTGCGACCGCGTAATAAAGGTTTCACAGTGCGTTGCAGAAGCGCAAGAGGAACGGTGTTTAAACACACAACCCGAGCTTCCACATACACATACACACAAACTCAAACTCACATTCACACACAGCCCCATCGACTCTGCGTCTACCTCCGACAGATCACTGATAGAACAACTTTGTCCCACCTCTGTGCGATACATGTTTTATACGAGCCGTAACAGGGGCACAAATATCACACCTTTAGCTGGCTATCTGTAAGTACTACATGTAAACTGTTGGTAAAACATTTAAAGGGTTCTGCAGAGACAAAGCTTTGTCCCTCGATACTTTGCCATCACACCTGGTAGAAGTGAATACCACATGGAGGCTTTACTGTGCCAAATGTATTCTAAAACCATGTTTCCATGTTCTACAACAGAATCCAAACCATCAAGCTTTCTGACCCCCATCATGCACTGTGGGTACTGAATAAAATGTCAACCAATAATATGAAATCTTAAAGTTTGAAAGAGACTGCCACAATGGGATCTAATACACCTGCGGGTCTGCCGAGCTAATAATCCCAACTGCACAAGTATGAACACAGGGCTAGGACTAACTGAGGTGTTAATTGAGAATGAATTAGATATTAAAAACCCACCATCGGTCGGCATTCATCTTCTAAATTTAGAGACACCCAATTATGTACATCTCAACTTTAAGCCCTATCCCATCATCCAGCCAATTGCAGAAACATGAAACATGAGTGTAGAATTTTTTTTGTTAACTGTCCTTGCACTTGAAAAGTTTGCATTAAAAGTTTGCAAGGTTGAGCTGCAGAACACAGTTCTCTGGGTTGTTTTAACACAGAAGAGCCTTCATACCACAAATCACTGAGGTTGTAAAATTCCAGGTGCATGTTTGACAGAATGGGGTTCTCCACAGTCCACAGGGACCAACGATTCAAGCTGCTGATTGTTTACCTTTAAAGATCAGCCGATGTAGTTATGGCAGCTTTAATGATGTCCTAAAGAGAACCAGTGGACATGCTGCAGGAACAACATCTCTGAATTGTTACATTATTATCTAACAAACATCAGAAGGTAATCTAATGAATCATCTGGTAGTGTCATCTATGTGTATTATTGAATCAACATGGAAGCATATTAATCAATATTGAATTGAATCGTGGCAGAAAGAATCAAAATGGAATTGAGTTCTTGACCATACCCAGCTCTAAATGAGACGTTGTCTTCTGCAAAGGTCCTACCATTTAAAATAATGATCAGTGACTTGAAGAGTGAGGTCATTGGTGTGCAGAAAAACCATCAAACATCTCAAATTTAATGAATTTGAACTTTGGGGACTAGTTACTCTCAGAAAAACTCAAGAGTATTGCTACATTTGACCTTCACTATCGGTGGGATGAAGGAATGAAAGAGTGACCAAAGCTCGTGTTGAAGACACTTAAACTCTAACATTATAAATCAGTTTGACTTTTCATTGTTCTTATTGTCCAGTCTGACTCTCTTTGCATGCCAGTGTGGTCTGTTAAAGGTCCATATTTGGCTGAAAATTAAAGACATTTAACATTTGCTAGGGACATTTGGTCTAACTGAGCACATCATCTCAGAGTTTAATATGTTTGGGTCCGGAGTGTTCTTTTCCGGGCTGGGTCTGGGCTTGTTTTGTCTCACTGGATTCAAACAAAGGCATCGCAAAGACAAAAAGAGAGAACAAAAGAAAAGGCAGAAACTGTGGATTATGCAGACTTTTGACGGGGAGTTTATTATGAAGCTGGTCAGCCTAATTGGATGACCCAGTGCCTTGGCATGGGGATAGCCATTTCTGTACTAATTCAACTGATCCTGTTGTGGGTGGGGAAACTGTTAGCATCTGCCAGTGTTACCTGAGATCAAAGGTATGAATAAAAAAAGTGAAGCTAATTGTTTCATTCCTGGGGAGTGGGCTGTAATCTTGTCTGGAGGGGGAACAGATGGCGAGGTCCTGTTGGCATCTACAGCAGCTGCTCCCTAAATCAACCAGACCAATGACTTGCATTAGTTGCTGCATTTGCTATTTCTTTTTTGCTGTGAGGGATTAGCTGATGACTGGGAGAAATTCTTTCATCCATCTGCTTTAGTGAAACATTGATCTTTTAGCGGAGAGAGGTGATAACAGCATAGTATTTGTAAAAGCTTCAAAATAAATAAAGCTGCTTCAAGCAGTGTTTAAATCCATGAGGATGGTTAATACTTGTGTCCAGGGGATCATTGAGAGCTTATACTTTTTTTATTTTAATGTAATAATATCATAATAACTGGAATAATCTGTATTTCTAACACTGAAGTGTGAAAGCTACCAAGCCTTAAACATTAAAGCATTAACATTGAACTGAATAATAAGTCCATCCATGGAACATTTTAATTAATCAATAACTTAAACTCACAAATCTTAAAAATCGGTTTTCATCCACAGAATGAGAAGTTGCTTGTTCAATATATTATATCTTTTCTGTAACCTGAATATCTTTGGGGCTATGGCTGTTCAATTATTGATTGCCTTAGAATGATTTTAGGAAGGAAGTTATTCCCCTTATGAATAAGTTATTTATAGATTCACTAGTTCGTTCGTCAATAATCACTGCCCTTTGCTTTCCTGATGTTTGTGTTAAATGTTTCTATCACTGTCTGAAATTTAAACATTGGTTTTGGATTAAACTGTGAAGTGAGTATTGTGTCATCTTAACTGTGAATACTTTTTTCCTGCTTTTGAGGACACCATATATGAAGCTTAATTTTTCTGTATATTTTAAATCTTGTGAGTTTTTACACATTTTTCTGGGTATTCAAGTGATAAACAGTACATGGCTGCAGTTAATCATTTATTATACTAAAAAAAGTCATGAATTGCAGTCGACAGCAGTTGGCCGAGGTCTGGAACATTTCATAATGAAAAGTGCTTTAGTCTGATTCCATTACTGACGATATTGTGTGTTAGCATATTTCTCTGTTTGCTGATGATCTCAAAGGCGAAACAAAACGCTCAGTGAAAACAGCCACTTCAGTGATGCTTTCAGGAAGTGCTGATTTTGTGCTACAGACAAATGCACCCTCCTCAATAGAAGGACACACACAGCAACAAAAATACATCCCAGATACAAACACTGAAGAAGAGTTTGCAGAGTTTGCCAGAGTTTGCACAACAGCCTGAAACATCCTGCAGGGACACGCAGAACAGCAGGAGCGCTACCATTGATCTGAAGAAGCTGTACTGCATTCATGGTTACAGTGTTTTTTTTTCTGCTGTCTGAGACAAAATCGTGTCTGGGGAACGCACATCAGCACGCATCGATGAGTATGCATTCATTTGAATCCATTTTAGAATTCACTTTGGTTATGTTGCATAAAATTAAGCGAGTGAGAGCTACCCTGTCTGTTATAGATTTGCTCTACTGCAGAGTCTGTCTACTCCTGTGTGTGGAAACGTGACTGAGTTCCCTCGAGAGCTCATTTAAGAGAGGGGGAGAGGGAGAGAGAGCTGTCTGATATATTTCTCTCAGTCAGAAAAGAGGAAACTAGGATATACTGGAGCAGAAATCAGGGGGGCTCTCCCAGGGAATACCCGGAGTTTCCTGATAAACCTAGCTCAGAGAGGACATTAAAAATGGACACCGGTGCACAACAGACAGCAGCTTGACATCAAGCATGCATGAAAAATAAAGTGTCCTTGTACAAGTAAAAGTTACTAAAATGAAGTTTTCAACAGACCGCAGTAATGTGTGATCTTTGCCCATGTTTGCTTTTCATTCACAAAAGTAAATACAACCTAACATTCCCTCAAACAGCCAATATTTGCACTGAACTGTCATCTTCATTAGTCATCTGTGTGGACAGCGTCCTCCATCACAAATCAATAACATCTTTAAAGGAGATCTCAATGGAGCTCCCACTATTAGATAAAATGACTAATCCTGCTAATTGATTGGATCAAGAGCCATTTGTACATCAATTGCTCAATTTCCTTTATGTAGCTAATATGTAAGAGTCCACACTAGATATTAACTTTTCCATACCTTTGATGTCCTTTCCGAAGCCCATGGAGGAGGAGACATTCTGGCCTTTGCTACTGGACTTTTCCTTCATCATTTCATCGTCACTGGACACGTCCCCAGGCGAGCCGATCTTTTTCTTTTTCCTCTTTTTGTGGCGAGGAGGCAGCTTTTTGGGAAAGGCAAACATGGGAAAGATGACCAGGAGCATGGCTACGGAACACAAGAGAAAGCCGCTCCACCTGATGGGAAGACAAAACAAACAAAACGGCTGTGAAGACAGAACAGATTGATCTTCACAGGAAGGAACACGTTCATAAAAGACTCAGACAGTCATACAGTTACACAATGCATATTTACCAGTTCCCAACAAAGCGAGGGTCACTCTGGTCAATGTTGACTACAGTTTTGGGGTCGACGTAGAAGCCGATGAGGACGCCTCCCAGCAGATAGCCAGCTGCAGGTCCCAGAGCTCCCATCACATACATGATGGCTGGAAGAGACACAGAGAGAGAAACATTCAGAAACCTTCCTAACATCAAACAGTCTAAAAACCGCTCTAACTGCAAATACTTGAAATAAACTGCAGGGTTTTTGGAGCATATCACCTTTATTAGCTCATTTTAAAAACAGGAAGGCTGCACTTTGTTTCACAGTGTTAGCTTTTCCACCTTCTTCATTACAGCTGTTAATAACCCATAGGTAACAACCTGTGACTGTTTAAATGAGACCTGAGGGAGCTGTTCATTACCACTGATACATCGCCCACCTTATTCACAACACCTGCACTGAGACCAGTGGTAACTCTCCAGCAGCCCAGAGGTCATTCCTCACAGCTTTTGAAGCATCTGTAACACTTGACCTTAAAAGGTCTCACGTTGACCTGAGGGCACGTCTGCAACTCGCCCAACCTCAGAGTGAGTGAGGGGTGCAAAACATTAACCCTTGGGGACTCTCAGACAGTCACAAAGGTGAGCCAATCACACTCCGTCACTTCCCCACAGGAAGGGAAAAACTCATTAAAGTTAGATAACCTTAGTTGGACAAGTGGAAAAACCTCCCGCGGACATCCAGCAGCGACGCAAGTCAAAGCCATTTTACAGCTGTAATCAGAGGCCAAAACTTTCTATAATTACACCTGGAACATTGCCGCAAGCTGCCAGGGTTTGTGTGTGCATGGGTGTGTGTGACTGAGGGGAGGGATTAGCTCTTTATTATGGTTGTGTGTGTGTCTGTGTGTGTGTGTGTGTGCATATGCATCCAATTGTTTCCATGAATGACAAACTTTTCACCCACAAATGAGACACCCAGCAAAATGCTCTTGTTCATTTTCCTTTGATTCAGTCACTTTTGTTACACAAAAGGATACCAAGTAATAAGAAACTTGGAAGAAGCAGAAATTTTGAAATGAAAGCTGCATTGGCCGAATGAAGATGCCATTGTCCCCGCGTTTTTTTAATCTAAACTTTTAGGAGTCATGGTGAAGATTATCGGTTCATGAAGTTGTTGGTCTTTTTTCCATATGAAAGCTGCCAGCAATGAAGCCGTTTTATGGAAAGCCAGTGTTATCTTTTTGCCGCCAGCAAGATCTTTAAAGATAGATGTCATCTTTACTTAGCCCTTCAGGATAAATTAAACAAAGAGGGACTTGTAGGTCGGACTGATACTACCTCAACTAAGAAATGAATCAACTTCTTCTAAAACAAATCAGTAGAGGAACAAGACCATGCTCCTCTATTTGAGATTCTAAAGCGTCACATTTCTTGACTGACCTAAGACCCATGAGAAGCAGTGTGTGTTAATTTGTGTGAATGTGTCTGTGTTCAGAAGCATGTGTGCTATGTTTCCCAAATGACATTGGTCTCAGGGGAGACATGAGACATTTCAGAGAAACACTTACCCTCTGCAAGGTTAAATAACAAATGCACCATGCAAACACACGCTTCTTAGCTGTCAACAAAGTATGTTTTGTCGGAATGGAAGCTCAAAAAGTCATTTCGTCTGTTCGACCAAATGTTTCAGCAACTCAGCCAAAATTTGCATTTAGCATTTGTACATCCCGGGAGGCTCTCATCTTCTCCTGCCCTCTTATTTTCATCTCAGCAACACTTTGAGCGAGTCTGCACATCCCTTCCACCCTGGATGCAGCCAATACAGCACAAATATGCATGTTCACTTCTATACTTTATTAAATCACGGCATTTAATGAAAAACTATTGTGGGTAGGGGTGAAAAATATTGCTTTGAGAAAAAAAAGGCCCTTCATAAATCCTCTTATCAGCCTAATGCAGACACACACACACACACACAAGCTTACACAGATGAAACCAAAATGCAAGAACACAATGGACCATTCTCTTGGCTCCAAATACTCTGGAGAAAGGACTTTTTTGCAAGATTTTGCACACACGTGCATTTGTTAAGATCGAGCAATGCAATTGGATATGTAAATCAAACATGTATAAGCATATGTACGTATATGAGCCTGAAGTCTGTGGCAATTTCTTAGCTATAACTCAACGTTAGCAGTAGACATGAATCACTTTTCTAAGCACCTAAAGCAGGTGTCCTTCCTTCTTTCACTTCTCCAGCCTTTCTCTCATTCCCCTGCGTATCATATTTCATCTTTTTAATCTCTTTCCCTGCGTCGTTTCTCATAACCTACCAGCCACAGAGTCAATTCAACACAGCAGGCTAACTGTTAACACAATGTAACTGGATAAATCCCCCCAAGAAACCATAAACAAACACTCAGTTGGCAAGGACAGTGAGAGGTCTTATCTTACCATCTCCATCTCAAAAATAAAAACATCTCACAGTGAATCCCACCTTTGTTCTACACTGCAACATAATATACAACATAATACACTGCATGTATAAAGTACAGAACATAGACAGCAATATAAAGAATGGCCATAGCAGCAATTAGACCTTGATGACTGAGTTTATAGATTCACATCTCCTGCCTGACTGAGCTTTAGACCTGTTTGACTCGAACTGAGCTTACAAATGAAATGTTGACTAACCCAACGATTGTTCTGCACCTCTGAGTTCTTTATCATTCACTGAAAAAGAATGGACGTGACAAGTGTGTGAATCAGTTGTGTGAGTCAGCCTTTGCTTTATTTCAACAGGATCTCCAGCTGAAATTATAACTAAATTAAAGATTGACATTTTGCAACATGAAGAAAATGTATTCATGAATCATTCTCATCCCCTCACTTTGAATACTGCTGACCCTTCCTTTGCCCCACTCATAACCCACCATCATTTAAACACACTTTGATACCTCATGGGCATCCAGCTCTCTCAAGGCAAACATGGCTGGAAATGATGTCCTGTTTCAATGGTCTTTGTTATTTATTTACTTGTTGTGAACTGTAATTGTACTGTCCATATTGTTGGTTTTTGTGTACCAATTGACCACTGGAAAATGAGTTTCCCCGCTGGGGATTAATAAAGTTTCTAATCTAAAGCCTGGGCATCAAGTTTGGTCCTTTGATTGCCCTCCAATCTCCATCCTCCCCTCTGTCCATGCACCCAGGCAATAACGCCATATTTTATCCCCCTTGGGTGATTGTGTAAGCGCCAGCCTTGCCACTCCATCCATCACATTAACAGCGTTCTGCCTGGTTGGAGGACATAGTGGGGGTCATAAACTGAGCCTGATTCAATGCCCTACACTGCCCGCTTGGCACCAAGCCGTGGTATTCAGAGATGAGGGGATTGGAGGGCTTGTGGCTGGGCTGAAGGGCGGCAGGGGAAGAGCTGTCGGAGCTGAGGAATATGCTGGCACAGCATCAGCGCTCCATCACACACACTAACAAACATACTGTGGTGATACACGTCAGCGGAGCACAGGAGGTGCATGCCAATGTGGAACGCATGGCGCACCACAGGCTCAGTATTCTCAATTACGCGATAGACCTCTACCAGCAGCACGTGAAGGACGAAACATTGTAGGGCTCTCATATGGCCGTCGAAACGTGTCGAGGTAATGGATCAGGAGCTCTCTATTACAGTCATTGGCTTTTGCTTCTTATGTTATACAAAGTCAGCAAATCAACCAGCTACATAACCATCCAGTCTGACTTTCAATATGTTGTGGTGATTTTGTGCTGACTTTGTTATATGCATTAGACATGCATGAGAAGATTTAAATTAAGGATGAAGTCAGAGCGTGCAAGATACCATTATACAATCAGAATCTAATATCTTCAATAATGTATAAATGAGGTTTGAGAAAAAGTTGATTGCACAAGCCAGGAGGTAAAAAAAAAAAAAAACACACACATTAAAAAGAACCAATCAAGAAGCATCAGAAGGATCAATTAAAGCTTGGTGGCTTTAATGTCAACCAAGGTCACTCTGCACTGCTTCTTGTAATCGCACATGAACACTTAACATTCCTGCACGTGATAACGAGGCAGGGGAAGTCCAAGGGCATCAAAGGTAACAATGAGGGATGGATAAGGTGAGAGAGTTAACGGTACATCATTGACCCTACTTTAGCGTTTCAGCTACAGGGAGTTGTGATGGATGAATGCAGCGATGTCAGGCAGAGGAAGAGAGAGATTTACTAGGACATAATCCGGGACACAAAAGGCAATATGGTGGCACATAAGAAAGGAACAAACGTACAAAGTGGGTGAAAGAGGCAGTGGTGACAAGAAAAACAGATCAGGTAGGAAGAAACATAATAACATCAGAGGGGTGGGGGGAGAGAGTTATTGAACATAAAAAAAAAAAAATCAGAGAGATGGGATAAGAGAGGAGGCAGGCTGCAGTCTGTGGTGACTGATCCTGCTCTGAAACACAGGGATAAAGCTTGATCAGCAACATCCCTCTCACATCTAACCTTCAGGGACCAGTGCAGCACTGTTGTCTCCACTTTGCATCCTCCACACTCAGTAAGAGTCTCTGTGTTCACGGGCTGCACTGACTCAATCAGTAGACATGAATGAGGGTGAAACAGAAAGCGAAGGGGAGCACAGAGCAGATAAGGTTTGTGACAGAAACATGACTACAAGAAGGTTAATACTCCCATTTTATTAGAGAGGTTTGTATTGTTTCTTGTTTCTTTATTTCATAGCTGCAACTAATGACTTTTTTTGTTGTACAGGTATTTGAGAAAATGGTGTTATTCTTTTTCATGTTAAAATAATTGTCAATGGTCCTTTTCTCTTTCGACAGCCCTTTAGATTAATTAAGAGATTAAATGCCAACATTTTGAAGCAAACTCAAGACCTTCTATTTTAGTCCGACTTTAATTAAATGTAATTGTATCTTCTATATAACCTCATTTATTTACTCCACATTTGATTTATATTATGTCTTATTCCATTTTCTCTGGATTTCTGTTTGTGTTTTAGAATCCGTTTGACCAATTTCTTTATTTTTATATTACAGTGCATCGTCTTAATCTGCTCAATTTTCTGTATTATCTTCAAGTGTTATATTTTTCTTTCCTGAAGTTTAACATTTTAATACTAC